TTTTGAGGACGATGGAGATTCTGTGTTTGGTGCAGTGTTGAACAAATGAGCGTCATGTCGTTTGTTACACTTGTCACCATATCGGCATTTGCCTTTTGCCCAGTGCCAACATGGCTCGTCGATCTTCTTGGTCTTGTTAGCTGGGGATTGTCCTCTGGGCGTCTTGCCGCCCCCTTTACCATGCCCACCGCTCTTGCTGGCGTCAAACACCTTTTGATCATGGCTATACTCACAGTCCTTTCCTTTCCTGCAAGATTTCTTGATGAAGTGGAAGTGACATGGTATCTTCTTCTTGTCGCGAGGACTGGCACTTCGGCTCTTTGACTTTCCCTTTCTTCCTTGCCCTTTTCCTTTGGCATGTTGTTTTGGTTGAGGTGATGGTAGTACAGGAGCAGCATCAGACTTTGCTTTGGGCTTCGGAGCAGGCTTCTCCTTTGCGTTGGCCTTTGCCTTCGCCTTGGCGTTCGCATCAGGAGGAGCTGGAGCAGTTGGAGTAGGCGCAGTCGGCCTGCCACCGCCGGCAAAGTCTCTAGCATACTTTTCCCTGGCCGCGACATGCTTGTCTTCTCTGATCCTGGCAATGTGGCGCTCAATCGCATTGATGAGATACTGGTACGTTCTCCTAGGATCTCCCTCCAGCCATGATTCATATTGCTTGATGTCATACATCATCAAATTGGAGTTTCTGATCTTCTTGTATAATGCATCACGCAACCAATCATCTTGGGGCACGTCCTCAGGCATCATGTTGGAGACAATCTCCATCCACTTTTCATAGAACGTTTCAATGTTGGCATCACCAAGGTATCGTGATTGAATGATATGCTCCATAGTGAAGGCAGTCTCACGTTGACCTGGTGTCCTGAAATGCTCCAGAATCATGGCGAGAATCTCTCGCCCCATGACAAAGGTTGATCTCCGATTGCTGGCTTGGGTTCTCAGTCGAAGTTTGATTGCAACATGTCGAGCTACATCACCAGCCTGTGAGATAACGTTTGACAATGCAATGGAAAGCTTCGCATCAATTGACTGAAACCTTTGCCCTCCGCTATCATTCAGAGCATCGATGTCAGGGCTTTGCCTGAGCGCAGGTTGTAACCAAGCTTCCCATGCGGCTCGATCGCCGTCGTTGGCAGCGAGGCATACACCTTTGATCAGATCAGATTGCCAAACGCCCAGATTCTGGTGCTTTGGCCACGGGCTGATGTAGACTTTGTCCGCTTCTCGTCTGGATATCCTTGGAGGTTCTTCAGCAGTGAAAGCAGTCGTAGACTCCAAATCAATTGCTGAGTCCCTCTGCGATCCACGAAGCGAAGGCAAGCCAGGTGGATTGGGAGGTCCAGGAGGTCCGTTAGGATCAGGAGGCCCACCTGGGAAATCAGGATCATCATTGCCGTCAGGTCTTCGGTGGTTGGGAATTCCTGCTCCTTCATCTACGCTGACCCCTTTTCCGTCCAGGATCTTCTTGTTGACCTCACGCGGGAGCTCGGTCACTCTCTGATTCTCCGGATTTGAGGGTTGCTGTTGTGCATGTCCTGTACCCGCGGCAGTGTTAGCATGAGCCGTTGCTGATTCGTTGTTGAGCTCGTCGTCAAGCTGTCGAATCCAAGCACGTAGAATATTCGACTCATCATTTGCCGCTTCAACCTCGCTCTCCAACTTGCCGATCATCATGTAGGGTGATAGGGCACTGCTTGTGATACCTGCAGAGAAGGGAAGTGCATTGAGATTCTCTTGGCTTTTGATGGCTATCTCTGCGTCTATGAGACCTTTCCTTAATCTGGATATCTCCGCATCTTTCATCACCAATTTCTCATCCCTATCTCTCAGCTCACCCAAATATTCGCATGATCGTTCATATTGTTGGGCTCCTGTGGCTAGCTTGTACTTACGTTCACTCTCAAGCTCTGCCCTAAGGATGGCGACCTCGGATCCGAAGGGGGTCGCTGACCCTTGCCTCGAAACCTCGGCCAATTCATCCTTCAATCTGATGTTGGTGTACATACATTCATCCATTTCTTCGGAAAGATCTTGGGCCCTAACCTGTGCGACCTTAACCTCAGTTTCGAGATGTTGTATGGCATGTTGGTTAGAACCGTGGCCGATGGCCATTGGGCCCTCCTGAAGAGACCGTCTCAGTTTGACGTTTCGGTCCTCGATCTCTGTCTTGAGCTCATTCGTCAGCGCTCGCTCATTGTTGTATAGCATCTCATAGTGCTCCATCTTCTCACGAGCATTTGAGCTGACGCTTGATTCAAACCTCAATTGAGCAATGGCCTCAGCCTCGGTGTTCCTGTAACTTGCAAACCGTTTGACTGTGTCATGTTCTGTGTTTCGATGACGTAGATCACTCTCCAGTTTAGCATTGTTGGCTTCATTGATTTTCTTGCGATATTCTCTAGTGATCTGCTCCATGTTGTTTTCATACAACTCGGCTTGCTTACGGGAATGACTGATTGCTTCACTCAACATTTGGTTCTCATCAGTGAGCTCGTTGACAATGAAGGCTTGTCTTCGACTTGTCATCTCCAAATGAGTATGTGAGAAGTTTGCCAGTTCGGATTGACTACGATATTCCACTATGGAACTTTCAAGATTTCTCTGCATCTCGTTTCCTTCCTTGTACAATGTTTCGGCTACACTCCTAGCAAGGCTACTGTCATGTTGCATCTGTTGAAGACGTGATTCAGTATGCCCAAGTAGTCCTTGAAGGTGGTGCACCTCGTCCTTGTACTCTTCCTGGATCTCAATACCACGTTGGTGGATTCGTCTGGCACCATGTTCGGCGAGTGCACCTCGACGTTCAAGTTCTTCAATACGAATGGTTGCACCTTCATCTTCCTTGGAGGCTAACATCAATTCAGCATGGTATTCAGATACTTCATTCGTCGAGTACATCAATCGTTTGTTGAGTGTATTGATTTCATTGAATACCTGTTGGTTGTGTCCACGAAGATATTCGGTGAACTTGGCCTCAATGTCCTTAATGACTTGATCCCTTGAAGCTGCGTACATCTCAGTTTGTGTCACTTTCTCTTTCAGAATTTGACATTGCTCTCTAAGTTCTTCAATGATAGCTATTGGTTCACTGCTACCACGTGCTTCTGTTGATCTTCTTTTGGCACTGACATCACTTGACTCCCTACCATGTTTGTCCTCGACTGCCCTCGGGGTCCTGTGTCCGGTAGGTGTCCTTCTCGGTGATCGGTGGCTTCGTCGTGCATTTCCACTTCGAGCCATGTCACGTGCCGATCTCGGAGTACTGGTGGTTGATGCTCTTCGATGTCTAGAAGTCATCTTTTGCCATCCAGATTTTGTCGTCCTTGTCGACTTTTCCCCGCTGCCAGCCGTTCCCGGAGAAGATTGTGATATACCTTCTGCAGGGGCTGCGGCGTTGCCGTCAAAGGTGAACTGCGTCTCCCCGCTAACGCCTTGCATCTTTGCGGTGCTGGTGCTGATCGGATTTCACGATCTTTTGCACCCAACGTTGGTTAACAGCACGCAGGTACTCCGCCTCCGATGGAGGTTGAGAGCCCTTACGGCTGATAACCTGCGAACAGAATTATCCCTGTTCCGGATGTGGTTCAATTCGTTTCGGAATACCGTGCGTTTATGTTTGCCAACGTTTCAACGGCATGCAGCGGAAGCGCAATTGCTTTTCCTTGATATGGGCACTTGAGCCAAACATTGCGTTTGGCGGTCAATCCCTTGAAATACAATGGGAAGTGTATGAACTGTATTCCCATCTAGTCCCCATTTGCACATTTAATGTCATACAATGTCATTTAATGTCATACAATGTCATTTTATGCCATTTAATGTCATATCCATTCATACTCATGGTATATACATGATATGTACATGATATATAGATAATTACCATAATGTCATATAATGTCACAAAAAAAAAAATAATGTCATTTAATGTCATCTACAATCAAATACATTCATATACATGATCTATACATGGTATATATGATATATACAAAAATGTCATGTAATGTCATTTTATGTCACATACACTCATATACATGATATTTACATGATATGTACATGATATATTTGCTATATGATGATGTATGTGTGACTTTGATTGCGGCCATCCATCAAGGATTAGCATCCTGGCCGAGGGGCTGTGTTTGAGTCTGCCGCAATGACCCATGGTCGACAGAAGAATTCCATGCCAGCCCATTCATCGCCTGGGCTGATGGGCGCAGCTGTCAAGCAACAAAAAGAGGGCAGGACTGGGGTGACAAATGGTGCCATGGTCAGAACTTCCATAAGTTGGGATAAAGTTGTTGAGTAACCAAGTATAACTATCACTTATTAGTGGAACATGGCCCCCGAGTATGGCCCCGGAACTGCGCATCAACTATGAGACTATGAGAGATGTTGGAGTTTGGGGCTGCTGCTGGGACACCTTGCTATAAATTGGGGATGGGGGTAGGGGGACTTGAATCAACAGCACAGGGTACCAGTGTGGTGATTTCTGCAGTTGGGAATCCCACAAATGGGACTACTGGCTGATGGTTCTATAACCAGTTGGGGGTTTCCTAAAATGGTACCCCTTGCATCATCGGCCAGTCGCAGTTCTCCGAGGCTTCACCTTCCTGTGTCCTCGGTCAAAGGTGGGAAATCCCCCCATTGATGGAGGAGAAACCTCCCTTTTTGGCCTCCATTTATATAGGGGATTTTCCAGCACCACGTTTTATTACCAGAGGGTGAAAAAAAAAAAATGCTCAGACCTTCCGCAGTTTTCCAAGTGGATGACCTGCATCTGCATCTATGTTAGAGATATCTTGCAAAATTTAAACGAGACGTGGGTCTTGAATGTCCTGAAAATATCTTCCTGAAGCCACCACGTTTAAGACCTTTAGAAACTTGGGCTGTTTTTGATTCTATAGATTTTGAAGGACATGTTGAAACAGCCAATAAAAAACTATGGATAGTTCACTTCCACACATGCCCCGAAGGCAGCAAGAGGTTATCAGTTATCACGATTACCACTTCTCGACTTCAGGAGTGGAAAGAAACCAGCGAAAAAACAGCGTCAATTGGACGCCGTGCCACTCGGTGCCAGAATTCATTGCGTCCAATTGTTGTTCTAGATCATGAAGAAAACGCAGCACCAGCATCGTGTTACGAATGCCGGCCTCGCTCTTCCTTGAAGCCGTGAAGAACAAGACACGACGAGTTGTCCGGTTTCTGCTGAAAAACCACATATCAGACTCCACCTGTTTATTCAGTCGCCCTTGTTTCAAAGGTTAAAAGGGAAACCACCTCTTGAGTCAGGGTCCACAAAGAAATGGTTTCTTCCAAGCGACAAATTCAGTTTCTCTGTGGGTTCTTGCAAGATCTTTTTTCTGATTCTCTTCCTCGCCGGGTGGAGCACTCAAGCGGTGAGTGGGTCTTGTTGAAGAAACCAACGCCCAAACGTGTGACCATGCGACAAAGCAACTTAGTAGACACGGGTGTTGGATCCAATAAGAAATGATGGTGTCTTTCCTTTCGTGATTTGGGTATGGGTCAATACCTATAGATACATTTTTAGTGGGATGAACATCCATAAATCCCAGCTATTTTGGGGTTCACTAGGTACCAGGGTTTTGACCCATCCCCATTTATGAACCTGTTCTCAAACCACTCACCACTTCGTTTACTGTGGGAAAATGATATAGAATAATGTCAGATTGGCCTGCAATCACACAGAAAATATGGGACTGAAACGGCAGCCCAGAATGACACGCGATATGCAGACAAGCTTTGAAATCACCCTTGACAACAATTCTGCTGACAAGATGTGCGCAAATGTTTCTCACATGAACGGCTGGTTCTCGCAGAGCCTTGTCGCCACATGAGTGACACTTTCAGTCCAAGCAAGGAATATCTATGCCATGAAGTGCAACAGCAGTTTCTTCAAACGAATACCATCCGGTAATCAATCCGTGGCAATGGAAAATCACCCGTTTATAGTTGATTTTTCCAATAAAAACCTCCATTTGTTAGTGGTTTTCCAGCTAACCATGCTTGACTACCAGAGAGTACAAAAAATATTGCAAACATTGGGTACAGACGGTATAGCGTTTTTGTGCCCAGTGGCAAGGTCTGTTTCTGCCTTTCAGGTTCCCAAACGGCAAAGTGCTGTGTCAACAAAGCACCTCGATATGCAGGATGACTCGGATGACATGCAAAACCATGGGGATCAAATCCGGGGATCCGCTGAACAGTCTGGTTTCTCTTCAACTTGGGCATCCAATTTGCCAATGGATACCTGCTATTTATACATGGCACCTAAATTTTGACCACACCTTCAGTACCATCTGCTGCAAACATATGCATCATGAACGCAGCACCAACATAATGCAACTCCTGGGCCTTCTGAGACTTCACTTCTTCAAAAACCACTTCGATGATAAGCTGTGACCATGCTTGAGCTTCACAAGCCATCGCCAAGCCACCGATGCCACAATTCACGTTCTGAAAATTCCTTCAAATATTAAACATGTCGGATTTTCCCTCATAAACCAAGTGTTCCCCATTTATGGCCGCCGCCTGAGTCCGTGAGACCCGTCCGCACCAGCGTGTCCGATGCGTCGTCCGGCCAATCGTCCTGACCGCGGCGGAAGAGTTTGATGTCCTGACCGTCATGGAAAGTGCTGTGATCATATCCCAAAAGATCTCAAAAATGGTGGTTTAACAAGTCAAACTAGTGATTTAAGAAGCAGAAACTGCAAGTTTCTGCAAAAATGATGCTTTGACGTACCACAAAATTGGGATGAAAAAATCAAACAATGATGGTTTTACTTGCACTGTGAAGCACCTAGCATTTTTAGGGACCACCAAGATATCCCCCAGATCCTCCCACTGGCCACCAGTCTACCCAGGTCGCACCGTCCACTTCACGTTGGTCCATGGTTTTTTGAAGGTCGGCAGGGAGGCCATCTGCACAGCTTTGGCGGTTGCTGAAATGACCATTTTTCATGGTCAAACCCCCAGTTCTGTTGCTGAAATCCCATGAAATCCCCATATTTTCGTGGTGAAATGATCCTTTGGCTGCAAAATCCTCTGATGTTCCATCGGTTTTTGGGGATTTTTGGGGAACATCCCGGCCTCGAAGGAAGGATATCCCACAGGCCGAGCAGCCAATGAAGTCACTTCCCGCAAGGCATCCTGCCAGGATACCCCGCATCGGTCATGGGATGCATGATGAATGCAATGAACTGGCGGTCGGTCAACCCAAATAATTCATGGGAATCTGCCAGGAGGATCCTAAGGTGTTTGAAATTGATGTGATGTTTCTCGCTATGAAAATGGATGACCATCCAATTGGCATCCCAAAAGGTTTTGACCACTGTACTATATGAAAAACAGTTTCATCCCAAGATATGGATGCCGTGCAGCATCTGGAAATGATATGCCGCAAGTGCTGGTTGAAGATTGTCAATCCGTGATGGGACCACCCCCTTCTTTGCAGGAGAATAGTCAACCATACTCAACCAAGATGTAAAATGATGTAAAGAGGATCAATAGAATTCAGTGTTTGACACTAACCTTCTCGCGTAAGCGAAACATGATGGGAATCTTCAAAGGGGAACCGCAGGATCCGCCGGCTCCTGCGCTAAGTTCTTTGATGCCACTTTGGACCAAAGTCTCTGCATGGAACTCTGCATTGGGCCTTGGTTGCGACTACTGCATGGCACCTGTTTTCTTTGGGATGTTGCAGGAGGTTACAATGACAGTGACTTGATAAATCCATATAAATCCCACTTTTATCAGTGTGATATGATAGACCTTCAGAAGTATAGACCATCTAGCCGTCTGAAGGTTGGAATGCGCATTTTTTTTAAGTACTTAGATATTCACAGTGACACCTCTAAAACAAATACAGTAAGTCATAAATGGCAGTATGATCCCAGAAGAACAATCACAAAATTTGTCGCTTTAACTTTTGAAACATCCGCTTTGGGGTCAAAAACAATTGAGCCACACCCATTACGATGTGAAATTTATTGGGTGTGTCCAAAAATGGTGTATACCGTAATCTAATTATCAGATTCCCATTAAAACTGTGAATTTTGACATAGAGTATACCGGTACACCCCCGGACAAAACCTATTTCATATTGCCTGTCACACCCCCGTAGTATCTCATGACATCTCCAAAAAATACTTGGCCTTTTTTGTTGCACCTAAGTTCGTGAATCCCTCAAGATGGCCAGTGAACAACAATTTAAACAGTTCCCATCCCCTCCAATCCACAGAGACCCTGCCATCTATCGCCAAGCGAATCCAGGGTACTGTCCCGTGTCCAGAAGGCCGTGGACAAGCGGTGACGCGGTGAGACGAAACCAGCTGCGGAGTAGACGTCAGAAACCCTGGGTCAAACTGAAGGTCCACTGGCGATGGCTTCAGCCACAGTTGCGGCCTTTGGAAACTATGGAGGAAATTCCATTTCCGATACATAGGGGTCGGCTAGAAAGATTTTGAGATACCCTCTGGTGAACTAACATAGCAATGGAAAATGGCCATTTAGAGTGGATTTTCCCATTAAAAATTGTGATTTTCCATTGCTATGTTAGTTCATCAGAGTGTAACCCGTGAAGGCTTATGACTTCAAACACCTTCAAACGAATTTCGACAGAGCTACCATCTCGGTCGGAGCAACTTCTTGCTGCAGAGGACCTCTTCAACCCAGAAAGGTCTCAAGAAAACTCGTGCTAATTTTGGATGCCAGATGAGTCTATTGCCAAAGAATGATCCAATTTCACCTAACATCACCAAGGTTTCCCTACATTTGAATGATTTTAATGATTTTAATGGTTGAATCCCAATTTTTGGTGGTTAAAACCCTCACGTTTAGAGAGTGATCCATTTCGGCCATATTGATCCAGGTGCCCAACTCGGCCCTTTTCCAAGCCCAGCGTGTAGCACAAATCGCAGCCTTGCCCTTCGGCAGAGGCGAGTTGCGCTGAGCTACTGCTGCTTCTACGAGGCAAAATCTGGTAAGCTGCACATAGCTGTGCAAAGACCTGTGCACTCCCCTAAGATTTCAGACCAATGTGTTGGAACATGTTGGAACCCACTGGGAGCTATCCCAACCTTCGACTCAGGGGATTCAGGCCCATTCCGTCCAGTCACAGCATACGACGCCCAGCTTCAAGGAGTACGCTGAACGCAGATTTCATGGGTGTAGCAACCTGTAGGCACGGCAGGTTGCTGGGGGTGTATTTGAAACCTTATGGTTGACCAGCAAATGTTCACCACAAACATCCGTACATTGCCGCAATAGGGGGGTACATGTCCACATGTTTACACGGGTTCCGGTAAATTTCCCCCTTGATGCCAAAAGAAGGCTACCAAAAGTATGTCGCTTTTGCTTGTGAATTGGGATGACCACAATTTTTCAGCCTGTCGTCTGCTAGATAGAGAAGTCGACTTTCCCACAATGAACCCAGTATGCAAAATAATTTCATTAGCGCAGGTGTTGCAGAAGTAGACTCACCGAAAAAGATCTATTCAAGGCGGTAACTGCGTGGCATTGAGGAAAAAGCAACATATGCTCTATTCAATAGCTTAGACTTAGACTATTCGAAGAAATGTTTTGCTGTACAATTTCACGCCAGCACTCTTGCCAGCACTCTTGCCTTGAAAGCATGTCGCAAGGTGCGCAGACAACGAAAATACCCCCTCAATGAGGCCAGGTAAAAAAAAAGTTCACACAACCTGCAACCAATACAACAAGTAGCAGCTTGATTGACCAAGTGTCTGTCACCATCTTGTGTCCAACTATGGCCCCGGCTGCCCTTAAAGCTTGTATCCTCTGGCTCAGGCTCGTACAAGAACCTGGAGATTTTGGCTTGGCAGAACCCTGGTATTCACAGGACTATTTCAAACTGGGAATATGAGCCTCATATCTATAGCATCTACAAAGAAACACAGCAAACGTAATGTGCATGGATGCATGTATGTATCTATAAACGTAGAATCAAAAATGAAGGCTATGTGTTTGTTCTTTCTAGTGATGGTTCCTTTTCGTCTTTGAGCTTCTTTTCGCTGTTGTTTGTGCCTCCGAATTATCTTGCTTGGACTCCCTCCAAATAAATATATATATATTTATATGTACGTATTCATAATTAGACATATATATAAAAGGCGATGAGTTGCAATTTTCTCTCTGAAACTTGGCTTGAAAAGAGGTATGTGAACCCTTCTGCCCCCTTCTGCCAACGATGGTAATCCAGAAACGGCATCCGCAATTCCTTTGGAAAGACTATTTTGCACATTCCAAAGAATCCTAGAAAGGATCCAAAAATGGTTTCGACATGGCCAACTCTGGAGGCTATTGGCAGTGTCCAACCCTGAACGACCCTTCTGCAAACTATCGAACAGGCGTGTTGAGCTCCAATAAAGTGTGCAGTTTACCAACAGCAAAATCAAATGGCAAGGCTTCACCCCCGGGACAAAGGTCAATGCTGAAATAGATCCCAGTGTCTTGTGCGAAGTGGCAAGAACAGTGGATTTACGATATGTAGTGCTTCATAGTGCTTTCGTACGGTAGAAAATTGCAAAGGTAGCAGCGTAATTAGGATTTTTGTTGTCGTTTGATATAATCTTGCCCTCTGTGATCGAAAACGGGGGGAAATTGCAGTATTTTGACGGAAATTCTGGAAACCCGTGGCAAAAAAATGTGGTTTTCAAGAGAAATGGTAGTGGAGGTACCACTATGCTGCAATGCTTTTGCCACATTCTTGGTGTTTGCATCGCTCCACTTTCCCAGGAGTCAGGCGGATCAAAGACTCCAAATCTCTTGCCAGCATGAATTGAAAGATTGTTTATCAATGGGCTAGAAAAATATGGCTGAACGGTTTCAGTAGTAGCGACAGTCAAAGTCCATCGGCGTTCGTCACGTGTCTCAAGTTATATATGATTTCTTTATGTGGTTATCAGTAAAAAACCTGAAACACTAGGTACCCTAAAATAGATCGTTTGTGGATGTTTATTCCCCAAAATGTGGTGAAATAGGTTTTGACCCATCCTCTTATTATATCTTATTATCCTCCGTTAAATGTCCATTGCTACGAACTTTTTTTGGGGTCCAAAAAGCTCATCTCACTGAAAAAGCCTGAAGCAACCAAATTGAGGACCCGACGGCCAAGGTTTCTTCTGTGCATTCACACGCGTCGAAAGTATCGCTAGAACCAACCTTGGCAGAAAAAGCTTCGGTATCTCCCAAGGCTCGGTAACTCGCGTTTTTTGGGACTGCGAAGATTGCGAAGTTTTGAAGCAAACTGGCCCAGAAATGGGTCGATGACCTACCTATGAACATATATAACGCTATAATCCATGGGTGTGCTATATGGAAAAATAGCCCATTTCGTTCAGCTAGTTACCTATTAATTCATCGTGATTTTCCATGCAAACTGTAGCAGATTAGCAGAGGGTTCCTGCACCTTTTTCAACTCTCTGGTCTCATGTCAGCTGCAGCATACCTCAATTCACTGACCTGCTCGTCAATGTCTTGCCTCAGCTGCACTAACTGCACTAGCTGCTACTAGCTCCCGGAAAGTTCATTGGATGGCCGCATCAATTGAGAATGTGTGTTCAAAGCGTGGTTTTTGTGGTGTATGATCACCCATCACATATTGGGAAATCCAAGCACTGGCGAAAAAAAACTCAGTAATCATGGATTGATTATTCCCATCCCAAGAACTTTCCCGGTGAACCCACTCCAACAAAGCTTACCATGGCACGATGCGACCAAGCTACGAGATCTTGCCCAAGCGCCGCTTTACATCGTTCAAGCTCGCATTGACCGCATCATCATCCTGGACCAGTGAAGCCAGTGACGGCAGTGAAGCTAATCAGTCGCTGCACACTGGCAAAATCCAAGAAGTCAGTTCTAAAATGTTCTAAATGTGTACTACCATCTGGTTATTTAACATAGCCATGGAAAATCACGATTTTTAATAGGTAAACCATCTATAAATGGGCCATGACTTCCATGGCGAACTGTTAAATAACCAGAGGGTAAATAGTAGTACCAAATAGATCATAAAATGATAAATCAACAATAAATCAAAATATAGATAAATCAATCAACGTCAAGCATAATCAATCAAGAAATTACGAAATAAAAGGATCACTCTTTCAATAAATGTAAATGGCACTCTTTCACAGCACGCTTTGTAGGAGGTTCTGGTGGAACATTCCTTTCATAGAACTGGTTCGAAACACTTTTCTGTAACCCTTTTGTGGGAACCACGTCTGCACAAAACCTTTGCAAAAGAGTGCACAGCACTCAACGCCTCAGTGCAGCCTACCAGGGCCTACTACCATCATTGCTAGCACACAGAAGCATTCACAGCTCAGTATCCATAGTGAACCACTGAACCGTCAACCACAAAAAGTCACACACCGTACAGTCACAACGCAACTATTAGGAAAGGACGTAGCTTCGCGGCTTTCAAACACATGCGAATGGTGGAGGCGGAATACGCAGGACACAACGGATGACCCAGTGCAGAACATGCCCAAGCCACAAATCGATCAACTCACAGTCTGAAACCTTCGTGGAGCGATAGCCCAAACAGTCTGAAGAGTCTGAAGAGTCCGAAAAACAAACATGTTTCGTGATCAGTCAAACTTGGGCACCCCAAGTGACAGGCTGGCTAATACTAAAGACTCTTTTCAAACAGTTTCTTCTGGGTCCTGAATGTTCAAATACAACCAAGGGGTCTTCTGATTGAAGAATATTTCAGTCGGTGTCAAAATGGAACACCGACTGGATACATTTCCTCGGCCATGGGTCACCACCGGGGATCCTCAGATCTGCATCCCCCCCACTTCCAGATCCACTGCGAGCCTCTGCCAGAAGTTTCCGGCCCTGTTCTGCATGATGTGCAGCAACCAGCTGCAAGCGTTCAGCCTCCGAGTCCCAGTGATTGTTCGCCGCAAAAGTTGCGGCAAACCCCCTATGAAAATGAACTGAGGGGGTTCGCAAAACCCTGGGTGAACATGATATCACATCAAGTTGGTTCTATATCCCATCATCTTCCCATTACATCACTATATCCTCCATGATATTTCCCATTATCTGGTAATCAAACATCGTTCGCTGGAGGAATCCACCATTTACTTCGATGATTTTCTCAGTATTTTCCAGCTTGCCCCCATTGACAACACGAGTCATCGGGTCATACCCCAATGGTCACCATATGTCACCCTCCCCGCCTCCATTCGTTGCAAGGCACGTAATGCCCCAGCGGCTTCATCTACCTGCGAAGCCAAGGGCTGACGAGTTGCCTCTGACCTGCACCAAAAGCCCATGGATTCGCAGAAGGGCAAGGTTCGCCGAGTCACCATTTTGGATGGTATAAGCCATCCCCAGTCATGGTAGGTTTATGGCGGTTGCTGACATTGAAATGGGATAGAGATGAATTCGTAGAAACAAAAAATTATCGTGTTAGTCATAAATTCATCGAGGATAGATGCATGGATTCGCAAAGGAAGTCTTCAAGGATGGGGTAAGAGCACCAACACGCTCCAAAGCCATTAAAGCCATATATCAGCCAACCCTATCACTTGATCCAAGAACTAGGCAATGGCCAGAATTCGGTTCTTCACACTTATGTATTAGTGCCATAAACCATCCCCAAAGTCACCAACCATGACTTGTGGTCATGACTTACATCAAATATTGCTATTCAATTGCTAGTGCTTTTCATTTCCAAAAGGGGACCAATGCCATATGAAGATGGTTCATGGGTACCCGCCAGGCCATTCGCCCTTTTTTCGGGCCTGGTCTCTAGCTCGCTCGCCAAGGAGCGAACACCTTGAGAGATTGCCTGGAAGGCTTTCGGGTCACCCTTTGATCCATCGCCAGCATTGGCCATTGCCCAGAAAGCCCCATATCCCATAGCTTTCGTATTGATGTGGGTCGCAATAGCAAGGTGCCCGTGATTCGTTCATGATTCCCATTCAACGAAGTGAGGGTAACCCCATTGAGGAATCATCAACTTACCAACGTTTAGTTCAGGGGTTCCATCCTCACATTTGAAGGAAATGCTTCCTCATATACCAGTAGTACCCGCACGAGGCGGGGCGGAAGTTGCCTTAAGGATATATAAGAACTTTCTCATCTATAGAACTTGCATGCGCCGTGCGCCAGCCAAGCCCGTGCGTGCACTCTGCGAAAGTTGTGTCCTGTTTCACATGTCACATGTGAAGCTCCACTTCGCACTTCTCACTTCCCACTGCACTCTTCACACTCCACACTTCGCGCTTCACACTTCACACTTCTCACTGCACTCTTCACACTCCACACTTCACGCTTCACACTCCACACTTCACACTGCACACTGCACTCTTCGCACTCCACACTTCTCACTTCTCACTGCTTTCTTCACACTCCACACTTCACACTTCACACTCCACACTGCACACTGCGGGTAGGAGCCAAGAATTTACAGCTAGCACTGCGAAGTCGGCACATGCTACAATTTCCGATGTCGACCTTTGCCCGAGCATTTTTGGAACGCTACAGTGACGAACTGGCAGCAGAGCAAATGGAAACCATGGCCGTGTGGGAAGAAGAACTGTGCAAACACAGCGCTGCCGACTGCGAAGCAGCGAGACCTGCTCGTGCAGCAGCCTTGGTTGGTGTACAGGTTTTTTTCGCGAAGTTTGCAGCTGAAATTGTACAGCTGCAAAAGCAGAACTTGAGGGATGTGGTTAGGAGCAATCAAGCATATAGCTATGCAGAATGGATGCGTGCCCGAATTTTTTTTGTGCGTCATCATCGCTTGCTGACAGTCAAAGAAAGAGACCTGTTGGAAGATTGGGAGCTGGTGCTTTGCGACGCGTCGGTGGCTTTTCTGCCCCGGCTGGAGCGGAGTTTTGGGAGGGCCAAGGCATTTGTAGTCGAACACAGTGACCAGTTGAAGCTACAAAATAAGAAGGCTTCGGTGGATATTTTCGAAAGCAAAGACTGTAATCCATCCCTATGTCTTTCTTTATCTACACCGTTTGTCGGGACAACAGATTGCAGAAGTGGAAGGGTGGGAACGCGATTTGTGTGTTTCTGAGACAGAGCTTGTCGAGAAGTTTGTACATATGTTGCAACGTAGGGAGGCTGATTTGAAGATGCTTGGCGCCAGCAGCGTGGAACAACTATTCAGTGGTCACAACAAGAAAACAGATTTAGATTTACGATTTGGGTATGATTTTGTTCGGTGGTTGTGGGGTCAGTTGTCATGTCAGATCAAGAACCTGTGAGACAGGCGTTGGAGCCTTTCGTGCACGAGGTGGAGCAGATGCCAACCAAGCCCGTGCATGACTCGAAGCTATTTGCGGGAGAGACAGTTCTGGGGAATCGCCTGCCGCGCCCAAGGCTGCCTAAAAGTTTGCGGCAGTTGTACGGGAATAGCATGGACGCAGAATCCCGGATCATGCCATTTTTCCATCCCTTGCACGAAGTGGATGCGTACATGCTGGACATGGAGTTTCAAGATTGTTCGTATTGCAAAGAAGGGTGGTTCGGGATTGCAACAGGGCGAGGCAAGAGTCGCCTACCGGGTGGCTTCAAGAGCCAAGCTTTCCAAAAAACAAACTTTTGCCGAGCTCCTGAAAAAGAATTGGCTGGAACCTAGCAGGCCCATCTGTGAGAATTGCTTGCACGAAGCCAAAAGCGTGCCAAGGCGCAGCTGCCGAAGGAACCTTTTCGGTTGACGGCGGCAAACCATGCAGACCCAGGATAGCTTGCCAGAGACGGATGCGTTGACTTTTTTCGAGGAAGAAATTTTGTCCCCGTTCCAACACCTTGTTCGTTTTTTAAATTTTGTATGGTACAGGTCAATGCGAGCTGCGGGGACATGTGGGTAACTTGTTTCAAAAAGGTCCTCAGTCAGTTCGTCCGAGACATTCCCGCAGCAGTTGGTGATATGAAGATGTTGCTGATCAGGCAGTGCAACAAGGATCCACATAGGAAGCAGCGAGTGCCTTTTCTGGTCTCGCGGGTTCGCTTGGAGCGGCTTTGGATCGTCTTTGCCGTCCAGTTGACGAAGGCGGTTCTGTGGCTCTGCGTCCAGGAGGTTTGACACCCGAAGGGTATCTTGGTTTTGTCAAGCGAGAAAATTTGGAGCAATTTGCGAACACAGAAGAGGGTGCGGAACCCGTCGGTTTGGAAGTGCAGGAGGTCAAGCAGGAGATTGGGAAGAAAATCGAGAAAAAATTGTTTGCCATGTGGATTTCCACGCGCTTGTCTTTGCAGTTGGCGTCGTGTCTCGCGCATGGTTCCTGAGCAGCCTTTTTTCCGAGCGGCCACGGGCAGAAGTCTTCCGACACGTTGCTTAGCTAGAATGTGACATCGTGCCGTCAGAAAAGACAGACACGAGCACGTGCAACTAACAATGGATGTTGATGCGCCATCGTGCCGTCAGAAAAGACACACACGAAAGACGTCCGTGCTGCCGAGCAGAATACAAAACGTTGCTTTGCTAAACTGCGACGGCTCGCAGAAACATTTGGCGGTCGAACACAACCCACCACAAACCTAAGCTGCTGGAAATTGCATCACGTCGCGCGTTTCGGTCGTCAGAAAAGACAGACCCTTGTTGCGTCAGGTCGTCAGAAAAGACAAACCGCTGTCTCGGTAAGTCGTCAGAAAAGACAGACCCTTGTTGCATCAGGTCGTCAGAAAAGACAGACCGCTGTTTCAGTATATCGTCAGAAAAAATATTAGTGGACACCAAATACCCCACCAACGTCGAAGTCACCAACTCCTCTGGTCCACCAACTTCTGCAAAAGACAACTCTTCCAACTTCTTCCTCAAGCTGTCCCACGTCTTCTGCACACGATCCGCATCACTATCGCTCTCAGCAGGCCCGTGCAGCGCACGCACCTGCGCCGGCCGGATTTGCTGGAATGATGAGATAGATAGATAGATAGATAGGATAGGATAGGATAGGATAGGATAGGATAGGATAGCTAGCTAGCTAGATCGATCGATCGATCGATCGTAGATAGGTAGATAAATAGACAGATAGATAGATAGATAGGTAGATAGATAGATAGATAGGTAGATAGATAGATAGATAGGTAGGTAGATAGGTAGATAGGTAAATAGATAGATAGGTAGATAGGTAAATAGATAGATAGGTAGATAGGTAAATAGATAGATAGGTAGATAGGTAGATAGATAGATTAGATAGGTAGGTAGGTAGGTAGGCAGGCAGGCAGGCAGGCAGGTACGTAGGTAGGTAGTCAGAGAAAAAGAACCAGGGAGATCAATCACCTTTCGATCCATCAGTGGCTTCACTCTGCCATCCCTGATTCACAACAACCAACCTCTCCTATAGGTTTCCTATTTTTGAAACTTCCGCCACCGCCTTGTGCGGTACTACTGGTACTGATGGTTGTCAATGAGGTTATCATAGCTACCATTCCATACTTCCATAAATGAACCTATAACATTTTACAACTGACTTACAACAAAGGGCCAACAGTTCTTTAAGTTCTTTGGCCATCTTTTCGACCCTGACATCGTCGAGATCCATGAAACATGTTGGATTCTTGTGTATATCAGCCGGTGGTTTATGTACAGAGATACACATCTATACCGCTAGCCAAACAGCCATGCACCAACCTGAATCATTCAGGTCATAGGATGATTTCCCATTATAATCCCATGCAAGATAATGCCCCAAAAATCCAGGCTCTAAGTGAAACACACAAATATTCAACCTGATTCAATCTGATCAATTGATTCGGTGATCAGGGAATTCACCAGGTTTTGTCAAACTAAGTTCAATACTGCATAGGTTTCAGGAGACGCGCCAGCCTGCGGGCCTTTTCAAACACGCTTCGAAAAGCCAAAGCACTGAAGGATTCTGAACTCAGGGGCCCCTTTGAGCCAGCATGGCTGCACATGTAATCACACATATGCGAACTGATCAGCAACTGCAGAGCTGTCACCGCCTTCACCTGGACTGCCCCAAGTCACTACTGATCCATCCGCCAGGATCGCAGCAAATGCGTAGTCAGTTGCTTGAAGCTGCTGGACACCCTTGAGTTGATCTTGGACTTCAGAGCTGTCACCGCCATAATCTGGATCGCCCCAAGTCACAACCAACCCATCCGCTAGGATCGCGGCAAATGCGCTCTAAGTTGCTTGAATCTGCTGGACACCCTTGAGTTGATCTTGGACTTCAGAGCTGTCACCGCCATAACCTGGATCGCCCCAAGTCACAACCAACCCATCCGCCAGGATCGCAGAAAATGCGTGGTCAGTTGCTTGAATCTGCTGGACACCCTTGAGTTGATCTTGGACTTCAGAGCTGTCACCGCCATAATCTGGATCGCCCCAAGTCACAACCAACCCATCCGCTAGGATCGCAGCAAATGCGTAGTCAGTTGCTTGAATCTGCTGGACACCCTTGAGTTGATCTTGGACTTCAGAGCTGTCACCGCCACAAGCTGGAAAGCCCCAAGTCACAACCAACCCATCCGCTAGGATCGCAGCAAATGCGTAGTCAGTTGCTTGAATCTGCTGGACACCCTTGAGTTGATCTTGGACTTCAGAGCTGTCGCCACCACAACCTGGATCGCCCCAAGTCACAAGCGACCCGTCCGCCAGGATCACAGCAAATGAGTGGCCAGTTGCTTGAATCTGCTGGACACCCTGGAGCTGATCTTGAACTTCCGAGCTGTCACCGCCTTCACCTGGACTGCCCCAAGTCACTACTGATCCATCCGCTAGGATCGCAGAAAATGCATTGTCAGTTGCTTGAATCTGCTGGACACCCTTGAGTTGATCTTGGACTTCAGAGCTGTCACCGCCAAAACCTGGAAAGCCCCAAGTCACAACCAACCCATCCGCTAGGATTGCAGCAAATGCGCGCGATGTTGCTTGAATCTGCTGGACACCCTTGAGTTGATCTTGGACTTCAGAGCTGTCACCGCCATAATCTGGATCGCCCCAAGTCACAACCAACCCATCCGCTAGGATCGCGGCAAATGCGCTCTAAGTTGCTTGAATCTGCTGGACACCCTTGAGTTGATCTTGGACTTCAGAGCTGTCACCGCCATAACCTGGATCGCCCCAAGTCACAACCCGGTTGCCACCGCCGCAAAACAATGCAAAAGCGCGTATTGTTGCCGCTACCTTTGGGTGTATGACAATGGCTGTCAGGTTGTCTCCATCTTCAAGTCCTGCAGATTGCAGAGACACTGCAGGATCCACCATGCCATGGTCTGCATCCACAAGCCTCAAGAAGCCACGTTGAAATGATTTTTGCGCCAGAATCCTCAAGTCCCCTACTTTGGAGGACTGAGGAAGTGTAAATGCCTCACTGCGACCGCTTGGCAAAGCTATACTGATTTGAATCATCTCTTGAAAACTCCAGCTCGTCCAAGTCGGTGGCTTCAACCCCCTTTTTCAAGTTAACTGGGAGTATCACCCTTTTTTTTGTGGTGTTTGAAAAGTGTTTGGATAAAACATGACAACCACATACCCTCTGGTAAACCAACATGGCTATGGACAATCACCATTTTTAGGTTTAGTAAATCAACATAAATCAACTATTTCTATGGCCATGTTCAATAGCAAACTCTTAGTTTACAACCACATCATTGCATTTTTCACCACCAAGCTGTAGCTGTCTGATCTTGAGCCAAACTTCACCCAACGCCACCATCCTGCTGAAGATTCGCTGTCGACATCCGGTGATATATAACTTTAAAAGCTTAACCTGTATGACTGGTATTCTTATGTTTAACTGACTTATAACTGATAACTGATAACTAACCAGGTATTTTGATATATAACTTATATATCCTTTAAAGCCCGAAATACATCAAAATACCAGTTATACTAATGGTTGTCAATGAGATTATCATTCCATAATTCCAAAAATGAACCTATAACATTTTATAACTGACTTACAACAAAGGGCCAACAGTTCTTTAAGTTCTTTGGCTATCTTTTCGACCCTGACATCGTCGAGATCCATGAAACATGCTGGATTCTTGTGTATATCAGCCGGTGGTTTATGTACAGAGATACACATCTATACCGCTAGCCAAACAGCCATGCACCAACCTGAATCATTCAGGTCATAGAATGATTTCCCATTATAATCCCATGCAAGATAATGCCCCAAAAATCCAGGCTCTAAGTGAAACACACAAATATTCAACCTGATTCAATCTGATCAATTGATTCGGTGATCAGGGAATTCACCAGGTTTTGTCAAACTAAGTTTAATACTGCGTAGGTATCAGGAGACGCGCCAGCCCACGGCCCTTTTCAAACACGCTTCGAAAAGGATTCTGAACTCAGGGGCCACTTTGAGCCAGCATGGCTGCACATGTAATCACACATATGCAAACTGATCAGAAATTGCAGAAGTGTCACCGCCATAACCTGGAATGCCCCAAGTCACAACTGACCCATCCGCTAGGATCGCAGCAAATGCGTAGTCAGTTGCTTGAATCTGCTGGACACCCTTGAGTTGATCTTGGACTTCAGAGCTGTCACCGTCATAATCTGGATCGCCCCAAATCACAACCAACCCATCCGCCAGGATCGCAGCAAGTGCGTTGTGAGTTGCTTGAATCTGCTGGACACCCTGGAGTTGATCTTGGACTTCTGAGCTGTCACCGCCATAATCTGGATCGCCCCAAGTCGCAACCGACCCATCCGCTAGGATCGCAGCAAATGCGCCCGAAGTTGCTTGAATCTGCTGGACACCCTTGAGTTGATCTTGGACTTCAGAGCTGTCGCCGCCATAATCTGGATCGCCCCAAGTCCCAACCAACCCATCCGCTAGGATCGCAGCAAATGCGTAGTCAGCTGCTTGAATCTGCTCGACACCCTTGAGTTGATCTTGGACTTCAGAGCTGTCACCGCCATAAGCTGGAATGCCCCAAGTCACAACCAACCCATTCGCTAGGATCGCAGCAAATGCGCTGTAAGTTGCTTGAATCTGCTGGACACCCTTGAGTTGATCTTGGACTTCAGAGCTGTCGCCGCCATAATCTGGATCGGCCCAAGTCACAACCAACCCATCCGCTAGGATCGCAGCAAATGCGTAGTCAGTTGCTTGAATCTGCTGGACACCCTTAAGTTGATCTTGGACTTGAGAGCTGTCACCGCCAAACCCTGGATCGCCCCAAGTCACTACTGATCCATCTGCTAGGATCACAGCAAATGCGCTGTAAGTGGCTTGAATCTGCTGGACACCCTTGAGTTGATCTTGGACTTCGGAGCTGTCACCGCCACAATCTGGATCGCCCCAAGTCACTACTGATCCATCCGCTAGGATCGCAGCAAATGCGCTGTAAGTGGCTTGAATCTGCTGGACACCCTTGAGTTGATCTTGGACTTCGGAGCTGTCACCGCCACAATCTGGATCACCCCAAGTCACAACCAACCCATCCGCCAGGATCGCACCACTGTGTTACAGTGTTACAGCACCCATGAGCCTCGTGGAAACAAAAAATCACTCATCCATCTATATATATATATATAGATCCATATATATATATATATAAATATATATATATCCATATATATATATCCATATATGGAACCCTTTTCCGTCATCCCACCCGCCTGGAAGCGCGACGTGGCCTTCTTCACCACGAAGGGATAGAGCCAGGCCAGAGCTCTCGTGGCGTTCTCCCTCGCCTGCGATAGATTTCACCCACAAAATGTGGGCGAAAATGGCTGAGAAACTGGGAAAAAAACGACAAATTTGGTGCTTAATGATGATGGTCCGGATGAAAATGGCAAGCTCAATGGACTGAATGCCATGAGTTTCAGACAAAAACCATATCAATTTCAATTGTGTTCAATTGATTCTACCCCTAAATAGTCTAGACTACAGGTCAAAAACCATGGGAGTCCTGAGGCCTGTAAATTTCCCTTGAAACCGATTCTGGTTGATTGGTTTCACTCATGGAAATAAAGGTTAGCAGCTTTGTAGGTCAGATCGACGCAAGTTCACGTGCGATCCAGGGGGTGCAGCTTGGATCGTTCCCTCCTGCACCATCGGTGTCATCAAACATGGCTAACTGGAAAATCACCGATTTATAGATGATTTTCCCATGAAAATCATCATGATTCCCCCATTTACCCTCTGGCAAACGTTTACATAACTATGGCAAATCACCATTGTTCATGGGTAAATCCACTATAAATGGCCATGTTCAATAGGCGCTCCACTGTTTATAGTTGATTTTCCCTGCAACTTCATCTCCATGGCCACAGGGCACCGCGCCTCGATGAGAAACTTGAAGGCCGCATCGTAGTCCTTGTACACTGCCACCCGCTCCTTGGGAAACAAAAAAACTGAAAAAACTCGGCTATCAGCCATGTTGAGACACACCCAAATCATACATGTTGATCTTGGTGGCTTACATATGTACATATATATATATATACATAATGTCAACCCTGGATTAATAAAAACCCCGAGGCTGTTTAATTGGGAGGGTGCCATTTAAGTATCAGATAATGACTATTGGAGGGGTACCCCCTAATTAATAAACCATGGTTTATAAATCCGGGGTTGACATTCTACAAATATATATATATATAACAACTCTTACTCAGGTTACACAACACCCCACCCAGCCGCCCTACGTTTGACAGCTAGATTTTTCTGGCGAGCGCTGCACTGTTGCTGACCCTTGTGAGCCATCCATCACGGCGTGCCCGTGCTCGGCTTACCTGAGCGTGCTGTGCATGGAGGGTTCTGGTTCTTATTCTTATCTGTCATTCATGACTAGTAAGGTGGGGTTTTGGACAAGTATGGGTTCCGACGGGTCGGAGATTCCCACAGTCCGTATCTCCAGTCCGTATCTCGAGATACTGCCTCGAGATACTGCCCTGTGAGGGATCCCCCCTTCCAAAACATCCATACTTGATTGATCCTAAACCCCCTTCAATTAATTACTCGGGAAGCATTTGGGAGATATCCGTCCCCTTCCACTGTGTTGATTCGCGGCCCGCCTCCGGTTCGGCGGCGCTTCCACACCGGCCTTAAGCTGGCTATCAAGGCTTTGGCCATCTGCCGGGTGCCCCCGGCCGCCCTGATCAGCGGCACCCCACGGAGGTACCCCAACATGGCTTGGGGGGTGCTTTGCCACCTGCCCAGGGCCTTGATGGTGTTCTCTCCAAGGCCGGTACAATCGCCCCCGCTACCCTCATGGAGTGTGTGCCGAAGCATGGCTGGTCGTCTTCCAGCAGCGTCCCTGCCGCTACGGCGACACCCTCAACTTCGGTCATAACGACTTTCTCCGTCATCCTTTCCCCACTGGGGTTGGTAAAGAGCGGCGCCTGTGGGTTCGCCTGCACAATGGCCCTCATTTCTTTGGCTCGGATGCTAACCTGGCGCCAGAGAATGCGTGTCGGGCACAGTTCAGATCCGCTTCCAGGCACACGCACTCTCGCTTGGTCCGTCTTGGCGACCACCCACCCATCAGGCCCGTGTTTCTGTACCACGTCCCTGATGTTGAGGGCGGCCAATTCCATCACCATATTGACTGCCTACTCCCCACACTGTTCCGGGTCTCTGGCTGTCCCGTTTTTCGACAAACCCCTTTTACTGACACGGAAATTCTTCACGTGACACACCGAGGGGAGCCTCCCAAGACTGGACGTCGCTTGGCAGCAGGATGAGTAGCGCCACGCCACCACCTGCCGCACCAGCGGAGACTTTGAAATGGTTCTTGTGGGGTCTGACCCGGATGCTCACCAACGGCCCGTATAGCAAACCCCTTTCCGGGAATGTGAATAAATGCTATTGGAAAATGATCACGACTGCTGATAAAGTTGTTGTCGGCAAGAGATCTGCGAAAGGTAAGGTCCTGAAAATACATGACCGCTTCATTAAAAATTAAATCTAAGCAAGAATTTGGCGACGATTGGGCGAAAGATCGCAGGAAGATCGGATGAATGTGGAAGCTGAATTTTCCGTGCTGACCGACCCCTTCCCTGTCACCTGCATGACCCATGTCCTCTACGATGTGACACTTGTCTGCCGCCAAGGTGCCCCATTCATCGCCGTATGCCGTGGCTTGGAAAGCGAAGCCGTCCAAGTCCAGGCAGGGCTTTTTGTCGGCCTTTCATGGAAGGATCACTAATCGAGACCGTCCCAAAATCAACTCAGGACAGATCCAAACCATGAAAGAACATCGAAATCGAACCAGTCTCGGAAACTCCAAATGCACAGAAAAGATACCCACAAATTTGGAAGGCCCCATCGCTTACCACACGTTTACACATACATGCTGTTGGGGCATCGCTGAAAAGAAAATTGCGTGCGTGCACAGGTGCGGAAAAATTTTCCAATGAGACATCACTATTTACTATTTGGAAGGGGGCCTTCTCACAATTTCCAAAAGCCGATGTCCGCCCCTTACACGTTTACATGTTCCATATCACCGGTGTTTATGCGGTGGCTCACAACTTGATCCCAACGACAACTCAGGCCACTTGCTCGACACGAGCCTCCTTCAATTTTCCTTCTATGCCACAATTCGCAAAAGGGAGCTCAACATGTAACGGTTTAGCCCAGATATATTTTTATGCATCAGCGGTCTCCAGCTCCACATGTCTCAGAAAATCACAAGGCGACAAAGAGAAAGTCTGAAAGCGACAAAGAAAAAATAACAGAGAAGAAAAATAAATTCTCAGAAAGAAACTTAACATTTTCAAAATTCAAATTCCTACCCACTAGACTAGGTGAGAATCAAATGCAACCATTGAAATATATGAATATGAGCTGTGAACTGAGAACACTGGGGGAGTACTGTGAGCCTCTGCCATTGCGCCAAGTCCATGTTGTGCGGATTTCACAATGCTCTTTGATGGTCTATGATTTATGTGTCAAGTGATGGCGGTTTTTGTGGAATATATATCAACTCAGGTGTTGTGTGAAGCGCTGATTTGTTCCAAGCGGGCATCTACTCATAATGCATGTTGGATTCCGGAGCATTTTGACTGGCTTGATCATCTTCGAACAGCTTCCTCGTAGGCGCGGGTGGCTATATTGCTGACTGAGCGGTCTTGGAATAGGATTCCCTTCCTCCAGGGCGGGTGGCTGAACGGTCTTTGATGTGAATGCTATCTATATTTTTATCTTGTTTTTTCTACTTTTTCCCTGTCTCTATTTTCCTTCTGGTTTATGGTTTTCGATTTTTCTATGCTTTTCTACCTTTCAATATGTTTCTCTCCTTTGCTCTATGTCGTATATGCTTCTTTGTCAACTGAAAATCAGCTATAAAATCAGTTTCATTTTTTCTCAATCTGTTCCTATTTTTCTCTCTGTTTCATGGTGTTTCCTTGTTTTCCCAAGTTTTCTTTATTTTCCTCTGGTGTCATAGTGGTCGACGTGTGGGTCTTGGGAGCCGACATGTTTGGCTGGCTGACTGTTCTTGGTTAACACAGCACTTGGTGGTGGATTGACAACGCTCGATAACGTTTGACAACAACTGACATCTTTTGAAAATTAAAGGACCGGATAACCCCACAAATCAACTTCTTCCAATGATCACCAAGCAGATGTGAAAATGCGATGGGAAAGGCAGGAAGGAAAGGAGATGGTGCAAGACAGGTTGGGTGAAAGAGCTGTGTGTGACAGTGTTGTGTGTGTGTGTAAGTTTGTGTATGTAAAAGTGTTGTGTGTGAAAGTTTGTGTGTGAAAGAGATGTATGTGTCAAAGTTGTGTGTGAAAGAGTTGTGTGTGAAAGAGTTGTGTGTGACAAAGTTGTGTGTGAAAGGGTTGTGTGTGACAAAGTTGTGTGTGAAAGGCTTGTGTGACAAAGTTGTGTGTGAAATGAATCTGTGACAAAGTTGTGTGTGAAATGAATCTGTGACAAAGTTGTGTGGAAGAGTTTTGTGTGCCATCAGAGCCAGTGCAGTGCCATAAGTGCCACACCGGCTACGCAAAGTGGAGGTCGATGTCGCCAAGTGCCACGCCTGCCACGCAAAGTGACGATCCCACAGTGCTGGACAACACTTGACAGCACTTGCGCCGGAAAAAACTGGGAATGGCCTGAGACTTGAAAGCGACACTGGATCACTGTTTTTCTGGATTGGTTGAACCTGAGACCCCCCCGGGTGTCAAGAAGTGAAAACATGATTTTAAAGCGATGCATGTCTTTCTCGGGTTTTCTTTATCCTGCCCTATTCTTCTCTATTTGCTCCTCAGAAGCTTTTCTAGACATGTTGAGTTGCCAGCAGCCTGTATATAATCCAACTACGCTAAAAATCTCTTCAAACGTACAAATCTTTCATAAGTAAACCACTCCAATCCAAACCCCCTTTTTTTGGGTTCTGCTAGCTATGGGCCTTGGCTTGCGCCGCAAGAAGCCGGCGACCGCCGGCGAGAACACTCTGCCTGGAGCCCCAACGGAGGCAATGGATCTGTCTCCGGGGGCGGGGTCCGCTCCAGCTCTGGCAGTGCTGTCGGTGGAGGTGCGGGGTTCGAGGACACATTGATTTTCAAGAAAAGGTGCCTCTGAGATTGTGCGCAAATACAACATTTTTGAGATGCCTTTGTTGGGCCCGCTCCTGCGTCCGCAACCCCCGAGCTGTCTCGACCCGGCGGTCGAAGGACTCACGCCCCTTCACCTGCAACCAGTTAAGGAAATGTCCTCGCAGGAGGGCACGCTGGGCCGGGTTCGGCACCAGCAGGATGCTTTTGGCCAAGGCCGCTGCGAGCTGGGTGCTCAAGGTTGTGCCTTTTGCATGCCTCGGTTCGGAGCTGCTTACCGTGCGGTCTACGATTATTCTTGTGCCCCAAACAATGTGTCCACACTGTGAGGTTCTTACGGTAGTTGTAAAGGCTGGTGCTTCATCAGGGTGCTCCAGCTGGGCCGCGGCATTTTTCCCGTAAATTTCCGTATAGTGTGGCTTTTGCCAAATGTTCGCTTGCATTTCGACAGCGCATGCTCGCACAAAAGGTGTGTGCGCGTTCTGGGCTCAATCTGGGCCGCGGCGTTTTCCCTGTGAATTTCTCGAGAGGCTTGCACAAGATGTGTGCTCTGGGCTCAACCTGGGCCGCGGCATTTTTTTAATAAATTTCCGTATAAAGTGGCTCCTGTCACATGTTGACTTGCATGTCGACTGCAGGCTCGCACAAAGCGTGTGTCCGCGTTCTGGGCGGAATCTGGGCCGCGGCATTTTTCCAGTAAACTTCAGTATAAAGCGGCTTTTGTCAAATGTCCACTTCCATTTCGACTGCGCGAGCTCGCGCAAAATGTGTGTCTGCGTTCTGGGCTCAATCAGGGCTGCCGCATTTTGCCCGTAAATTTCCCTAGAAAGTGGTTCTTGTCAATTGTCCGGGTGTCTTTCAACTAAGTCACTTCGCAGGCTCGCGCAAAGTGCGCGTCTGCGTTCTGGGCCCGCTTGCCAACAGAACTCTTGTAGAGATCTTGTACGTAGATCTTGCCAGGAGACCTCTTATGGAGATCTTGTGCGGAGACATTGCGTAGAGATCTGTTGCAGCGATCTTGCCAAGAGACCTCTTATAGAGATCTTGGACAGAGATCTTGCCAGGACACCTCCATGGGAGACCTTGTACAGAGGCATTCCATAGAGATCTGTTGCAGAGATCTTGCCAGGAGGTCTCTTCCATAAATCTTGCCAAGAGGACCTTTTTTAGAGACCTTGTACAGAGATCTCATAAAGAGATCTTGCCAACAGAGCTCTTATCGAGAGCTTGTACGAACATCTTGCCAGGACACCTCCTATCGAGATCTTATGCAGAGACCTGGTGAGGAGAGCAGAGGTCTTGCATGGAGATCATTCATAAATAACTTGAACACAGATCTGATTTTTTGAGATCCCTACGAAACTCTTCTGCGGAGATCTCCTATAGACACCTTGTACAGATAGCCTTACTCAGGGTGCTTGCGCAGCAGCTTCTACAGTGTATTCTACAGAGGACCTGTCAAGGAGATCTTGCGCACCATCTTCTACAGAGATCTTCACAAGAGGGAACTTGCAGAATCTTACTTGGTTTCACTTCTTTTCACTACTAGGGTCGCTCTTGTCCTGCTAGCTTGCAGCCGAATTAGCATCCTCATCCTCATCCTCCTCAACATCATCATCCTCCGCATCATCATCCTCCACCTCCTCTTCCGCAACATCATCCTCCTCCACCTCATCTTCCGCACCATCATCCTCCTCCACCTCATCTTCCGCAACACTATCATCCTCAACATCATCCTCCGCAAAACGCTTTCCTCCCCATCCTCATCATCATCGTCATCATCGTCATCGTCGTCATCGTCATCGTCATCGTCATCGTCGTCATCGTCATCGTCATCGTCATCGTCATCATCATCATCATCATCCTCATCCACATTATCATACATTATCCTCCCATTCCCCCAAACTGTTTGGGGTCTCTTGCCGGTATAATTTTGGATCGTCGAAAGCATGCATAACGGTGATTCACCACTGATCCGGTCAAAACAATCAGCCTTGCAACTGATGTATCTGTATAATCATCCATAGATTGAAGAGGCTGGTCCATCAGCCAATGTGCTTGCACTTCTAAGCTTAACTCCGGAATCCTCTGAACAAATGCAGGGTCCAGTTTTGAACTTGCAGCTCGAAATTTTGGCCTCAGAAATTTCCATGGACCAGTTTACGAAGCAACAGTTTGGAAATTGGCGTTGCAAATCCAAACTGTTTGCAAACTTTTGCCGCGGCGCATAGGATTAGTGCATCTTTTCGGCTGAAACGGTAGAATGTTTCGTTGCCAAGCCGCTTTGGCGGAGTGCTCCACCACATCGAAGCCAAACTGCGTGCCGGCATTGGCCGGCCAGCGTGCTTTCTCATTGCTGTCTCGCAGCATGAATCTGCTCATGGGCAGCTTGTCAGACACTGTGACCACGCCCTTGGCGAGAACGGTGTCTGCGCCTGCATCACCATCCCTCAAGCACCCTAAAAGAAAATATTTTTACATTAAATCAGAGGTATCCAACCATGTAGGGAAAGCAAGAAAAACAACATAATTACAGTACACCTTCACGCGACTTCTCCGCTCAGGCGGTGGCCCCGGGGCTGCGCACTCAGTCCTTCCCGGTGAAGACGCGCCTCCCCCCCTTCTCCTGCCTCCCGTCTGGCTTCCCGATCTGTACGTCGGGCAGGGGCGGCCTGTCGGTCCCTGCCCGAGTCGCGGTCCAAATTGCTGCTCCGCGGACCCGGACGGTGAGCCCGATGTACATGCAGAATGCATTACCCATACATATATATATATACATATACATAATTATATATATATACATATACATATGTAACGTTTTTATTGTACATATGAAAGATCCCAAAGTTCTGCTGGTTTTCTAGACCCACCTAAACAGCTAAACAGCCCACCACCCGTCCTCTTGAAATACAATGGCAGCCAGCACCAGGTCAGCAGCAATATCTCCATTGAAGGTCTTCTCGACTTCCATTGCGTTGCCTTGGCGCTGAAGGCTTCAGGTTTTGACAGATGCCTCTGGATGCCTGTGGTTTGCCTTAACGAAGCTATGGAAGCCATGGCCCATTTAGTTCCAGTCCCGGTCCATATCACCGGTGATACCAAGGTGCTGGTTGGCAACTGGCAGCTACCCTGCCGCGGCTGCGACCGAGGTTGACTTAGGACACTTCGATCATGATCAAAACTTGAGAAAGATTCACCCACGAAAATCTAACTAGATTCCCTCTATGATCAGATGGACCCCCACTAAAACAAATATCCGAATTCACTGCAATATTATATAGCTGCAAAAGCCAAACCAAAGCGTTTCGACAGAATCAAGTTGTTGTCATCAACTTGTGTCCTCTCACCTGCTCTGCTTAGTTCCATATCCCCTTTTGAGTTTTGACTACCATTTGGTTATATATTATATATCCCATGATATTCCCCATTAAGATCCCATCAAATCCCCCAGTTTTTCACCATGCTGGCCATAGCATGCACCAACATCCATCATCCATCCATCACCCACCTGCAGCTTCGGAAAGCGCTGCAACAGCACTTCTTCCGTGAAGTCGGCACCCAACGTTTGGTTCTCCCCGCTCTCCACATCCAACACTTGACCACAGCCCATGGCATCAGCTACCCGCTCCACCTGCCGAAAGAACCCGTGTTTTGGACCAGGAAAAACTCAGTTGTTCTCTTGGGGAAAAAAAAAATAGGGCGGTCTCCGCCCTATGATTTGATGGTTTCCTGTAGATGATCTCCAAGAAATCCATTTGGCCCATGCGGGAAACAAAGAATGAGTCAATGTCATCAACATCAATATATATATATATGTATATATTATATTACATATATATATATATTATGTATATATATATATTATAGGGAATAAAGGGGAATGAAGCAACATATCTCTGCAACGACGATTTTTCCAGCCGACCTTCTGCACTTGCGCCGGGTAGCCATGGCTATGCGCTTCGTTTGGAGCACCTGTCCACAGTCACGGCTGTTTTCGTCACGATGCTATGGATCTATAGAATCTATAGGTCCCGCAGCTCTATTAAATCCATTGATAATGCAGTACTATCTTTGTATCAACTATATATGGATTAATTTCTATGGAGTACCCTCTGGTTATGTCAAAATAGCTATTGAAAATTGTCTTTTAGTTCGTGGATTTGCCCATTGAACATGGTGATTTTCCATAGTTATGTAAACGTTTACCAGAGGGTATACTTGCCAAAATGATGCCAAGTATAACTGTAGAAACATCACTCTCACGCCTGCGCAGCAGTGGCCATCGGCCTCACCTAAATTTAGTCGCAGGAAATGTTGAAACATCTCTGCAAGCAGGAATATAACCACCATTGATATGGTTATAACCAATGGTTAATATGGTTAATATGGTTAATATGGTTATAACCATCATTAAACCAATGGGTAAAATATCGGTCAATCATATTATAATATGTATTATATATATATATGTATCCAACCACCCAACGAAAAAACTATGGTTCAACTCTAAAAACGACCCATGCCCACACCCAAGTAATGCAGCGTCGTTGTATTTCACGGCCGACAAAACCCTCCCCAGTGGCGGAAAAATTAAATCTTTCCCAGTCGCTTCCCTTCGCAGCAGCATGAGCTCGGCTTAGAATGCCCAAGCACGCTTCAGGATCCATGGCTCTGACTAGTTCGATGAACACAGAAAATACTCAAATAAGTACCATGTCCTATAAATTTGGTGGGGAAGTCGTTTCTTTCGAATGGTCTACAATGGTATACGGTGTATACTGTATCTCCTATGCTTTTCCGATGCGACCTAGACTTTGGCAAATGTTTCTCGTTTCACCGCATCCACCACTGAACATGGCTGCGGAGGAAACTATCTCCAATGGCGATTTTGCAACAGCACAAGTGGCACAGTGGAACTCTCAAACCAGCGCAACATGGGCAATATGGGTATAGGTCAAAAGCCTGGTACATTTGAATTGCATTAAACTGACTGGTGATGTTGATAGAAATTCATCTGCCATGTTGTAGGTCTGACCCATCCCCAATAGTTCTAGGGTGCCCAAGTTGGAACCAACGGATCATGTGCCAAGGCCCACCAGGCCGTCCACCATCACTCCACAACTGGAACGACTGAGGCCGATGGCCAGAGACCGAATAACAAGCCAAACTCTCCTTTTGGATCAGGCCTGCAGGTCACAGAGGGATGATGTAAAACTCATGCCGATGTGCCCAAAAAACCGGCTGATGGGCGTCCATTTAACGGAGGGCTGATGAATATCTTTATTGTTGGTGTTCGAAGAATAGAACAGTAGCTTTAATCCCATGATATCAAATGCCCATATTTGCTATATTGTTACTGTTGATGATAAATCAGCATATTCTTATCATCAACAACATGTTTCCCACATAAATGCCTGTTGATGGTAAATCCGCTGCTAAGCTGAAATTGACCCATGACTTCTGAGGCTCCAAGCGTCTTCATCTCGCAGTCCAACTGGCAAAAGATGGTGAAGACATACCCTCTGGAAAAAACATGTCGGAAAATGTGTGAAAATGTAGGAACAAAATAAATGGAAACGGTGAAAAAAAAAACTTCTGTGAATTGGGTTTCAATCATTCAGTACAATAGACCTCAGCAGCTGTCATGGCTGGTCCAACTGCTACATTGACTTTGATGATTTGCAGATTATTTACAGAGTTCTATCACTCTACCCATCCCTGCCCACTGTATGCAGATGAACCAAATCAGCATCATGGAATACGATAAAATAAGTGGGTATGAGTCAAAACCCCTTTCACCCGAAGTACCCTACAATTATAGCTGGTGAATGGATGTTTTCTCATTTACTCCCCCAAATATGGTAAGAGGTGTTGATCCATACTCAATTTTTGTGGAATATCATTCAACTCAAATATGGTAAGAAGAGGTTTGATCCATACTCAAATTGTGGGTTATATCATGAAAAAACTCGACAGTCGCGGCAGATGGCTGTGTTTCCGCACCCCTTGCCAGAGTGCATCACCGGCTTCCGGGCATGTGGAGAGAAGCACAGCCACCATGAAACCTCCAAGGCTACCCCGTTTTTGAAAGGGCAAACAATAGGGATTTCATAAGGGCCCCAATCATGATGATGGTATTTTCTCTTGAAAGGTCAAAAAAAATAGTATTTAAAGAAGCCCCAATAGAAAAATGATTGTGTTGATTTAATGATTGTTAACTCCCAACAATCAACAACAATGGTTAACAATCACTTTTGATTCATGGGTCAATACCCTTCGGAAATGAAACGTGGCTGGCTGGGAAATCTCTGAACTAGCCATGGAGGTCCATAGCTGAAAAAATCATCGAAAAAAAATGATGGATTGTCCGGCAGGCCATGTTTGATTCCCGGAGGCTCATCGTGGTTAATAAGCTTAATAAGGTTTTCCGGTTTTCCTAAGCCATTCTCCACAGTGGCACCCTTGTTAACCATTCAAGGTTTCCATTTCAGGTCATAGTTTTCACAAGCCCACGTCTCGGCTTCCGTGTCTCTGTTTCGTCTCGGGACCCATGATGATCCCCATGCTGGTGAAGAAGAAAAGCCAGCGCGACCTGAGTTCGATTCAGCTGGGCTCTGCTGTGTTTGTCCCTGACATGGAAAAAAAAAACCGGAAGAGTGGTGATTTATGGAGATATCATGGGACAAAACCATCCAACGGTAGCCTGAAAGTCAGTCGTCAAACTCATGGATTATCCACCGGTTAACATACTCGATATAGTCCATAATATCACTTACAGAAATAAATCCTTGAAAATCAAGTCTAACTTGATCGTTTGGATTGTGATAACCCACAATGAACCCAAAGGGAAAAATTCATCGTTGTGATTTTCTGGGTTTCGTACTTGTGAGCTACCTAGGGGCCAGTCGACAGTCCCAGTGATAAATCACCATCTTGGGATGATTTTCGTCCCATTGTGAGAACCCCATATCAACCAAAAATAAGAGACATTGCCCTTGCCAAGTGACCAGCAAGGACACTTCCTCGCAATGCTGCCACACTGCGCTGTCTTTGCCTGGTACAGGCAACTCTGGTGCTTGTATTTATTGGGAGGGTACCATTGAAGTATTAGATTATGACTATTGGAGGGGTACCCCCTTAATTAATAAACCATGGTTTATTAATCCAGGGTTGACATTATTCACTTGTTGCATTAACCAAACATGCCGGCGTGACTGTCATCTTCTTCGCTGTGAGGTCGTCAATGTAGAGCTTGCGAACATGACTCAGCGACCGCTTCACGAAGAACATGATGATCCCCTGGGCAGGACACCATCTGTGTCAGCCGTTCAGCCGTGGGTCTTGCGCAGGACTCGACTCCTCTAGGATCTCTAGGGTCCCCACTGTTAAGGCTGCAAATATACCAGTGATCTGCGGCAAGACTTGCTGACTGCCCTCTTGCTGACTGCATTGAAAAATTGATGAGTCTTGACACCATATGTTCCGCACTGAAACAAGAAAACCACTGAAGATGCTAGATGCTACGTTAAGGCAGGTTGAATTACTCTTTCCTGCTTCACTTTGTGCTGATCTTTTCCAAACATCAGCCGTTGCTTTCTCAAACCAGCACTGAAACAGGCCAGTGGAACCAACATCGCTGCAAAGCCAGCAGGGCAAATGGTCGCATACCTCCCAGCCAATCCCCATACACTGCGACTGGCCAAAAAAGGCATTCTCCAGGAGAATGCATTGCTTAAGGATAGCCAAACCAGCCAAACCAGCCAAACCCCCCACATATTTCCGCAAGGTCACGGGCATTTGAACGCCAGGTACAGGGCTATTGTCCTTGGATCACGGAAAACTGCACCCCGAAATCTATCTGCCAAGTCCACGAAATCTGAGCCTTTGGCGCGATCACCAAGCATAAAAACATGCCCCATTTGTAGAACCTCGAGATTTTCTCCATTCAGACAGCATCAGATCATCTCAGCGACCTGGGACTGAGGTCAAAGCTTGATGATGTCGCAGGCCATGACACAAATGGCACACAAGTTGCAAGAAAAAAGCGTGTTGTGTGATGTGTTCCTTCCTGCAATAGAATTATATACAGATATAATATATATATATAATAGTATATATTATAGATATATATATATATATATTCTAATTATAATAATTATACGTAATCATACATCATTACATCGTACACAAATGATTCGTATACATGATATGAGATATTGTCTTAAAAAGACATGTGATTATGGAATATGGATCACCCATTTTGACCACCGTTGAAAAGCTGTTATTGTTGTCCCCTTCCTTTGTCAAATGCTCAGATCCAGCACAGCTGAGTATAATGGGTTTTCATCAGCTTGGACGGCAGAAGAAGGAAGCTGAGCTTTTGTGGTAAACCCAATGCCATAAGTCTACCATTTCAGGCATGATTTTTACCCACCCTTTTATATCCTTTTGTGGTAATCTCGGGGACAGTGGCAACGGCATTGGGTAAACGCTTTACATGATCCCGGGAAATCCCGGCATTGGCGTCATCCTATGCCATCTTTTTCCGGGCGCGGATGTAGAAATCTCTGACGTCACGAATGAAATGCCTATGGACCTATGGACCTATGGATGTAGAGGGCCCTATCTTGATCATACCGTATCATACCCTGCCCTACATAATGAGGGCTGAGCACTTTTGGTGTCCCAAAAGGATGGAAAGGAGTTTTTCTTGCTGATGCGAATGGGATCTGATGCAGTTCACGTCTCTTGTTTGATGCATTGCTGTCTGCACGACTGTCTGAAATATTCTGAGTGTTTTCAGTGGGAAGACAACGCTGGCATCGTGGATAGTCTCCTGCAGACACTCCGAGCACGTTCAACGTCCAGAAGGTGGGCTGTCTATCGTGGCTGGATGATAGGATCATGCGGACCAAAAAGAAACGGCTCCTCAGTCGAAGAAGGGTGCATGCACCATTCCAGATTGCAGTCCAGAATCAATGAAGCCTGGCAAATCTGAGAATCTAAAATCTGACTCAGAATCTGACTCAGACTCTTAGAATCTTCATCAATTATTACTACTATCATTGATTATTGTTATATATTAATATATATTATTATATTTCAAAGCACCAGTTGGATCAGTTGCTGCGACAAAAATTCCCAACCCTTGGGAGTCGACCGGCCGTCCCGGCGTCCAAGGGCGTCCCGCATCCCATGGCCTGGACGAAACATCATCTCCATCTGCCAAGCCTGGCCATGATGAACCCGAGTGAATTCCCAAGCATCAGCAGTTAATTCCATTGATCAATCATCACAGTAATATATAATGGTTATATATAACAATAATCAATGATAGCAGTTAATAATTGATGAATCATAGTAGTTCACAATATTGATAGTAGTTCACAACAATCAATCATCATAGTAACTAGTTCACAACAATCAATCAATCATAGTAACTAGTACGTAACAGTCGATGAAAGTAGGAATAGTCACTTTTGATTATGATATTCTCCGGTGTCATCAAACGGCAGGCTGGAAAATCCCCTCGGCCCAGCCCAATCGAGGTTTAGTTCGCGAGTTCGTCATCGAACCAGCCACAAGTGATTCTCCAAAGAGCCATGGATCTGATTTCCAGGTCTATCCCATCATATCCCATCATATCGCATCCCAGCAGAAAAACTACCTGCATGGGCCCAAAAAAAATAGATCCTAGATCCGAAAGCAGAAAATCTATGGGTATACTTAGCATTGGATGGAATGATTTCATCATTCCAAACCAGCGGATGTACGGAATGGGAATGGGATATCCCATGGGATATCCCCAGAAAATGAACAGAAATTCAAAAAAATGCGCGGTAACTCTATATCTCTGATAGCATGTTCATTATCCCAATTCCGTCATAAGAGTCCATGTTTCCCCTAATTGTTAATAGGTATACTATCCTGAATAATTCCTACTCATAGGTAACTATTACCAGCTATTTCTATATCCCCCAACAGTATTTTTATTATCCTAATTCCACGACTACCCCCAACCAATTGGTACCAACAACCAGTTCCCGAAAAAGTATGGGATATCCCCCAAATAGATCCTAACATAGACCCGGGCAAGCCGGCGGCGGAAGTTTCCCAAACATAAATGACCTATAGTTCAAAGACACCCTGTCCCGACCGTGTCCTTCCCTCGACACTCCACACCTCACACTGCACACTGCACACTGCACTCTTCGCACTCCAAACTTCAAACTTCACACTCCACACTTCACACTCCACACTTCTCACTTCTCACTGCTTCCTTCACACTCCAAACCTCACACTTCACACTTCACACTTCACACTGCACACTTCACACTTCACAGTCCACACTTCACACTTCACACTTCACAGTCCACACTTCACACTTCACTTCACTTCACAGTCCACACTTCACACTTCACACTTCACAGTCCACACTTCTCACTTCGCATTTCACACTTCACACACATTTCACACTTCACACTCCACATTTCACACTTCTCACTTCTCACTGCTTCCTTCACACTCCAAACTTCACACTTCACACTTCTCACTTCGCACTTCACACTCCACACTTCTCACTTCTCACTGCTTCCTTCACACTCCTAACTTCACACTTCTCACTTCGCACTTCACACTCCACACTTCACACTCCACACTTCACACTTCTCACTTCTCACTGCTTCCTTCCCACTCCAAACTTCACACTCCAAAACTCACACTTCTCACTTCGCACTTCGCACTCCACACTTCACTCACACTTCACACTTCACAGTCCACACTTCACACTTCTCACTGCTTCCTTCACACTCCAAACCTCACACTTCACACTTCACACTTCACGCTGCGCACTTCGCACTCCACACTTCACAGTCCACACTTCACACTTCTCACTTCACACTTCTCACTGCTTCCTTCACACTCCAAACTTCACACTTCTCACTTCGCACTTCACACTCCACACTTCACAGTCCACACTTCACACTTCTCACTTCTCACTGCTTCCTTCCCACTCCAAACTTCACACCCCAAACTTCACACTTCACACTTCTCACTTCGCACTTCACACTCCACACTTCACTCACACTTCACACTTCACAGTCCACACTTCACACTTCTCACTGCTTCCTTCACACTCCAAACCTCACACTTCACGCTTCACACTTCACGCTGCGCTCTTCGCACTCCACACTTCACAGTCCACACTTCACACTTCTCACTTCACACTTCTCACTTCTCACTGCTTCCTTCACACTCCAAACTTCACACTTCTCACTTCGCACTTCCACACTTCACTTCGCATTTCACACTTCAGACTCCACATTTCACACTTCTCACTTCTCACTGCTTCCTTCACACTCCAAACTTCACACTTCACACTTCTCACTTCGCACTTCACACTTCTCACTGCTTCCTTCACACTCCTAACTTCACACTTCTCACTTCGCACTTCACACTCCACACTTCACACTCCACACTTCACACTTCTCACTTCTCACTGCTTCCTTCCCACTCCAAACTTCACACTCCAAAACTCACACTTCACACTTCTCACTTGGCACTTCGCACTCCACACTTCACTCACACTTCACACTTCACAGTCCACACTTCACACTTCTCACTGCTTCCTTCACACTCCAAACCTCACACTTCACACTTCACACTTCACGCTGCGCTCTTCGCACTCCACACTTCCCAGTCCACACTTCACACTTCTCACTTCACACTTCTCACTGCTTCCTTCACACTCCAAACTTCACACTTCTCACTTCGCACTTCACACTCCACACTTCACAGTCCACACTTCACACTTCTCACTTCTCACTGCTTCCTTCACACTCCAAACTTCACACTTCTCACTTCGCACTTCACACTTCTCACTTCGCACTTCACACTCCACATTTCACTCACACTTCACACTTCACAGTCCACACTTCACACTTCTCACTGCTTCCTTCACACTCCAAACCTCACACTTCACACTTCACACTTCACACTTCACACTGCGCTCTTCGCACTCCACACTGCACAGTCCACCCTTCACACTTCTCACTTCACACTTCTCACTTCTCACTGCTTCCTTCACACTCCAAACTTCACACTTCTCACTTCGCACTTCACACTCCACACTTCACAGTCCACACTTCACACTTCTCACTTCTCACTGCTTCCTTCCCACTCCAAACTTCACACTCCAAACTTCACACTTCTCACGTCGCACTTCACACTCCACACTTCAGTCACACACTTCACACTTCACAGTCCACACTTCACACTTCTCACTGCTTCCTTCACACTCCAAACCTCACACTTCACACTTCACACTCCACACTGCGCTCTTCGCACTCCAAACTTAAACTTCACACTCCACACTTCACACTTCTCACTTCCCACTGCTTCCTTCACACTGCACACTTCACACTGCACTCTTCACGCCCCACACTTCACACTGCTCTAAACCTACGTGCAACCAAAAAACACTAGCGCCAAAATGGAGAAAATCTGCTAACAAATCCATGTCGCAGCCTTCATGCAGCCACTCCAATACGATTTACGAGATCGAGCTGCAAAAGACAATAATATGACAAATGCAGCCACAGCACGAAGCAACCTTGACGCAGCCATTACAATGCGATCTGCAGAGACCGAGTTGCAAAACACAATAGAACTACGCGCAGCGGCGTCGGAAATTGTAGCTCCAAAACCGGATCTCGACGCCAGAGCGGAAAAAAGACGATTTTGAAGCACTTTTCAAAATGATTTTTAGAAGGAAAATCACTAGCGCCAAAATGGAGAAAATCTGCTGACAAATCACTGTGGCAGCCTTCATGCAGCCACTCCAATACGATTTACGAAGTCGAGCTGCAAAAGACAATAGTATGACAAATGCAGCCACAGCACAAAGCAACCTTGACGCAGCCATTACAATGCGATCTGCAGAGACTGAGTTGCAAAACACAATAGAACTACGCGCAACGGCGTCGGAAATTGTAGCTCCAAAACCGGATCTCGACGCCAGAGCGAAAAAAAGACGATTTTGAAGCACTTTTTTAAAAGGATTTTTAGAAGGAAAATCACTAGCGCCAAAATGGAGAAAATCTGCTGACAAATCACTGTCGCAGCCTTCATGCAGCCACTCCAATACGATTTACGAGATCGAGCTGCAAAAGACAATAGTATGACAAATGCAGCCACAGCACGAAACAACCTTGACGCAGCCATTACAATGCGATCTGCAGAGACTGAGTTGCAAAACACAATAGAACTACGCGCAACGGCGTCAGAAATTGTAGCTCCAAAACCGGATCTCGACGCCAGAGCGAAAAAAAGACGATTTTGAAGCACTTTTAAAAAGGATTTTTAGAAGGAAAATCACTAGCGCCAAAATGGAGAAAATCTGCTGACAAATCACTGTCGCAGCCTTCATGCAGCCACTCCAATACGATTTAAAAAGTCCAGCTGCAAAAGACAATAGTATTACCAATGCAGCCACAGCACGAAGCAACCTTGACACAGCCATTTACATTGCGGGAACGATCCTACAGTTGCAAAGCACAATGGAATTCCATTGGCAACTCATCCACCAGCAACACTTGCAATCCCATTTACATTGAGGGAACGATCCTAGAGTTGCAAATCACAATGCAATTCCATCAGCAACTCATCCACCAGCACCACTTGCAACCCCATTTACAATGCGGGAACGATCCTACAGTTGCAAATCACAATGGAATTCTGTCGACCACAAACGCACGAAACACAGGTGACACCCCATTTACAATGCGGAACCGATCCGAGACCGATCCGAGCATGATCCGAGGATGATCCGCCCATGATCCGACCACACACGAGACCGTCTCGCACCCGTCGCACAGCAGAGGTAGATCATCGACGTTCGGGGACGCACTTTGTATGGAAAAACATAGGCTTTCGTGCATCTGCTATCTCTCAAAAACGCATTTCGTGCGAGACTTCCTTCAAAACTCCATCGGCAACTCATCCGGCAGCACCACTTGCAATGCCATTTGCATTGTGGGAACGATCCTAGAGTTGCAAATCACAATGGAATTCCATCTGCAACTCATCCACCAGCACCACTTGCAATCCCATTTACATTGCGGGAACGATCCTACAGTTGCAAATCACAATGGAATTCTGTCGACCACACATGCACGAAAAACAGTTGAAACCCCATTTACAATGCGGAACCGATCCGAGCATGATCCGAGACCGATCCGAACATGATCCGAACATGATCCGACCACACACGAGAACGTCTCGCACCCGTCGCACAGCAGAGGTAGATCATCGAAGTTCGTGGACACACTTTGTATGGAAAAACATAGGCTTTCGTGCATCTGCTATCTCTCAAAAACGCATTTCGTGCGAGACTTCCTTCCAAGCTCCATCGGCAACTCCTCCACCAGCACCACTTGCAATGCCATTTACAGTAGGGGAACGATCCTAGAGTTGCAAATCACAATGCAATTTCATCAGCAACTCATCCACCAGCACCACTTGCAACCCCATTTACAATGCGGGAACGATCCTACAGTTGCAAATCACAATGGAATTCTGTCGACCACACATGCACGAAAAACAGTTGAAACCCCATTTACAATGCGGAACCGATCCGAGACCGATCCGACCATGATCCGACCATGATCCGAGCATGATCCGACCACACACGAGACCGTCTCGCACCCGTCGCACCGCAGAGGTAGATCATCGAGGTTCGGGGACAGACTTTGTATGGAAAAACATAGGCTTTCGTGCATCTGCTATCTCTCAAAAACGCATTTCGTGCGAGACTTCCTCCAAAACTCCATCGGCAACTCCTCCACCAGCACCACTTGCAATGCCATTTACAGTGAGGGAACGATCCTAGAGTTTTAACTCTTTCTTTGACTAACTCTTTCCCTGACTAACTCTTTCTTTGACTAACTCTTTCCCTGACTAACTGTTTCTTTGACTAACTCTTTCTTTCACTAACTCTTTCTTTGACTAACTCTTTCCCTGACTAACTGTTTCTTTGCTAACTCTTTCTTTGACTAACTCTTTCTTTGACTACCTCTTTCCCTGACTAACTCTTTCTTTGACTACCTCTTTCCCTGACTAACTCTTTCTTTGACTAACTCTTTCCCTGACTAACTCTTTCTTTGACTAACGCTTTCTTTGACTAACTCTTTCCCTGACTAACTGTTTCTTTGACTAACTCTTTCTTTGACTAACGGTTTCTTTGCTAACTCTTTCCCTCACTAACTCTTTCTTTGACTAACTCTTTCCCTGACTAACTCTTTCTTTGACTAACTCTTTCCCTCACTGACTCTTTCTTGCACTAACTCTTTCCCTCACTAACTCTTTCTTTGACTAACTCTTTCCCTGACTCACTGTTTCTTTGACTAACTCTTTCTTTGACTAACTCTTTCTTTAACTAACTCTTTCCCTGACTAACTGTTTCTTTGACTAACTCTTTCTTTGACTAACTCTTTCTTTGCTAACTCTTTCCCTCACTAACTCTTTCTTTGACTAACTGTTTCTTTGCTAACTCTTTCCCTCACTAACTCTTTCTTTGACTAACTCTTTCCCTGACTAACTGTTTCTTTGCTAACTCTTTCCCTGACTAACTGTTTCTTTGACTAACTCTTTCTTTGACTAACTCTTTCCCTGACTAACTGTTTCTTTGCTAACTCTTTCCCTGACTAACTGTTTCTTTGCTAACTCTTTCCCTGACTAACTGTTTCTTTGACTAACTCTTTCTTTGACTAACTCTTTCCCTGACTAACTCTTTCTTTGACTAACTCTTTCCCTGACTAACTCTTTCTTTGACTAACTCTTTCTTTGACTAACTCTTTCCCTGACTAACTGTTTCTTTGACTAACTCTTTCTTTGACTAACTCTTTCCCTGACATTCTAAAAGTCCGTAACACGGAAGTTTCTCCCCCTAAACTTCCTTTGATTAACAGTGTTCTATCATCATCATCATCATCATCATCATCATCATCAGGAGTAGTAGTAGTAGTAGTAGTAGTAGTCGTAGTAGTAGTAGTCGTAGTAGTAGTAGTAGTCGTAGTAGTAGTAGTAGTAGTCGTAGTAGTAGTAGTAGTAGTAATTATGAGCCCTAATAGTATTGTATCCCATTTTACATCAGATATTTCCATATCCCTCATAGTATAAAATCCAGAGGTTTCCGTTTTGTCATGGGGGTACCCCCAGTTGTCATCCATTGATGGATTTTCCATGAAATAATCCATCCGGCTGCGGTACCCCCATGGAACCCCAGGAGCCTCCGTCTCAGGCAGTTGGTTCACAGAGACGGCCACAGGAGCAGAGCCCCAGACGCGGACCGGGAAGGTGCACTGAGCGCATGGTTTTTGCGTGGGCGTGGCATGGAAAATCTGGGATGTGGTGAAAATAGCTGATGATCTTGGACGGGCGACTTAAATTGAGGCTGAACACATGAGACGCGCCAAACGGATGTGGTTGGGCCATTGGGATTTTCCACGGGACAGTGAAAGCCAGTTCTGAGTTAAGGACCACTTTGAACTGAGGGCCGAATCCCATACCTGGGAGAGGAACCACGGCCATAAACCTCGAACTTTGGGGACGGTTTTCATGGGTTTTTTGGATAGATTTTACCACATAAACACAATCCAGATTCCTTGCCGTGGACAATTTCAAAAGATTGGCTAGGAGAATTCTATTTTGTTCATCTTTTGAAAGGATGTTCTTTCCATAGCTCAAAGAATCGTTTTTTTCGCGACAGTCGCCTGTCAGGCGATGACCCAAGTAGAAATCCAAATGTCGCACTTCCTGCCAGTCACTGAAGTCAATTCAACGGCATCATGGTCATCAGTCAGAATTCGTTGCAGGTCGTACCATAGCATGAGCACCCTCTGGTGATCAAACGTGGCAATGAAAAATCCCCTATCAATGGAGGTTTTAATGGCAAAATCAGGTGTAAATGGTGGATTTTCCAGCAAGCCACGTTTGATTCCCGGAGGGTCTTCATGCATTTGCTGCACGCAACTAGATATAGGAATGGAAAGTAGCTAACTAGGCCCCCTTTAAGGTTGCCAATAACCAATGAAAGCTGTGCAGCTGCATCAGCGTCTGTTACCATCTGACAATTACTTATCATGTGGGCCAGAGCTTGCTCTGGACCGGCTCAAAGCTTTAAGATCGTTCAGCAATTTTGTTGGACTTGATGAATGTGGGTCATGTAGTCATGGATATTGCATATTGCTTTCGACAGCTGTCTGGGTCAAGTTTCATAAATCACATCCTCAAAGCCCTGAAATCCTGGCCTTACCAACCTGCTTCTGGGTGTAAGGCTTCTCAATGTTCCATCCAAGTTCTTCCCTGGCAAAACTGGAGCTGCACTGTTGTGTCCTCAATACTTGCAAGTGAGTTGATGACTATCACCAAATCACCATTTGATGGGCTTCAGCCATCTTGAACAATTGGATTTATATAGCCAATCATTATCATTTCAGCTAGCCCTGGAACAAAAAAAAGCATGGCTCCAACACATTCCACCATAATTTCGTTTGGGTGGTATACAAATAGGGGGAAGGGATGAAGCATGTAGTGTAAACCACCTGCTCTGCCCTTCCGCCACGTGCCTCAGAAACTTCACGGCCTCCGGATCTCTGCTAATCAGAGGCACGACGTGATCCGCGATATCCTGAGGGGTTGCGTTGCACCCGAACTTGTGGCAATGTTCATAGGAACAATGATGATCATCACAATTTGGATCTCAAATAGATTCATGAATAGGGTCCCAATTTGGGATAGTTATAGTTTATTATTGGGTTTATCATGTGACCTATTTTTCAGACACACCCCACCTTGATATAAGTCCAGTCTTTTCGACGAAAGCCGCGCCTTGTTTGTCACAAGGCCCCCGAAGGAGTTCAGCAGACGTTCTGAGTCCTGGCCCCGACATCCAAAAAATCTCTTGGGTGATGCGATGGCATCACGTTCCCCAATTTAATGGCCATATTTATGTGGGTAGTATTTGTCTCCCACCCATCTCAAGCACCATTCTTTGGTCTCCTTCGCTGCTCCACCATCTCGCTGCTTAACGGCTGTTATAAGCGCCTGCAGACGAAAGGAGGGGATTTCGTGGAAGATAGATATATAGATAAATAGATTAGATAGATATAGATAGATAGATAGGTAGGTAGATAGATAGATAGATAGGTAGATAGATAGATAGACAGATAGATCGATCCATGGATCGATCGATAGATAGATAGATAGCTAGATAGATAGGTAGATAGGTAGATAGGTAGATCGGTGGATGGATGGATTGGATAGATTGGATAGATTGGATAGATTGGATAGATTGGATAGATTGGATAGATTGGATAGATTGGATAGATTGGATAGATTGCATAGATTGCATAGATTGGATAGATTGGATAGATTGGATAGATTGGATAGATTGGATAGATTGGATAGATTGGATAGATTGGATAGATTGGATAGATTGGGTAGATTGGATAGATTGCATAGATTGCATAGATTGGATAGATAGAAAGATAGATAGATAGATAGAAAGATAGATGGATAGATAGATAGAAAAGATTAGATAGATTAGATTAGATAGATAAGATTAGATAGATAAGATTAGATAGTTAAGATAGATAGATTAGATTAGATAGATAAGATTAGATAGATAAGATTAGATAGATAAGATTAGATAGATAAGATTAGATGGATTAGATTAGATAGATTAGATTAGATAGATTAGATTAGATAGATTAGATTAGATAGATAAGATTAGATAGATTAGATTAGATAGATTAGATTAGATAGATAAGATTAGATAGATAAGATTAGATAGATAAGATTAGATAGATAAGATTAGACAGATAAGATTAGATAAGATTAGATAGATAAGATTAGATAGATAAGATTAGATAGATAAGATTAGATAGATAAGATTAGATAGATAAGATTAGATAGATGAGATTAGATTAGATTAGATTAGATTAGATTAGATTAGATAGATAGATAGATACATACATACATAGACAGACAGACAGACAGATAGCTAGATAGATAGATAGAGAGAGAGAGATATATATATATAGAGCTAGAGAGCTAGAGAGATAGAAAGATAGAGAGATCGAGAGATCGAGAGATGGAGAGATCGAGAGATCGAGAGATGGAGAGATAGACCGAGAGATAGACAGAGAGATAGACAGAGAGATAGACAGAGAGATAGACAGAGAGATAGACAGAGAGATAGACAGAGAGATAGACAGAGAGATAGATAGAGCGATAGATAGAGATAGCTAGAGACAGATAGAGATAGATAAAGATAGATGAAGAAAGATAGATGGATGGATAGATGCATCTAATATTTACATATGCATGATAGATATATCATGATATATCCAATGCCCATCATATCCCCAAAAAAATCCTCGAAATCTGCCCATCCGAGCCTCCAAAGCCTGAAGCGCCTGCGGCCTCTGAGGCGCTTGGTCGTTCAGGCCTGAGGACTGGACCTTTTGGGTCACAAAAAACATCCAAAAACTGCCTTTTGGCTTGGCAGTTACCCCAAAAACTATCGGAAAAATCATGAAAAAGCTGGAAAATGAGAATAGTAATTACCCCAAAATCCTGAATTTAACCATGATTTGTGAAATGAAAGGGCCGCATCCTGGGGGCATTTTTTGCATGTGCCATTTGCAGGGAAACCGATTTCAATACAGATATCCAAATGGTCAACTTGCAGAAACTTGGATGGAAACAGTTTGGAACTTTGAAGTTACGAAAATCCTGGAAAAGGCGTCGCAAGAAGTTAAGGTAGACCCCTTTCTTGAAATGGCTGGGAACCACTTGAACTTGTTTAAGTGCTGCTTATTGTTGCCTATCCACAATGGGGGCACTTCTCCCACCGTCTGAAGTCACCATAAACGATCCCACCCCTCAAGTATAACATTTCTTCATATGGCCCAAAAAAAAATCTAATCCAATCATAACCAAAGTTGTTGGATCTTTTACAGAGGGAAGGGATTTTTCGAATCTCAAGCAGTACAACCACGCCTCGCTCTGCCAGCACACGGCTCAGCACCCTGGCTGCCTGAACGAAAAGACTCTGCCGCATCACTGGAGCAAAAATCGGGTCCCAGAAATCCGTTGGCCAACCAAGCCTCGTTTTCCTCCTTAAAACGAACGAAAGGTTAGTGGTAATACAACCCAGTTTTCACCACCCAAATCATAATCATTTCATAATCTTTATTCTTGTTGGTTAGTCATAATATGTCATAATGTCCCCATATCCACCATGAAATCTCCACATCTCCATATTTCCCGACCGTAAAACTTGCCCCTGGGAGCCTCTTCCTCATGCCGCGCATTGCCCGTCCTGCACGCCAGTGCCAGGGCCCTCTCGGCCGTCTCGGTGGCATCGATCATTTCGCCCAGGTTACGCTGTTGATCCGCGGCCAACAGCAGAGCAGCCGTCTCACCCGCCTCGCGGAGGTGCGGGACGGTGCGGGTGCAGAGGATGACCACCTGAAAATCACATCCTTTGGTCGTTTCGATGGTGGTATGGTGGTCTAACTTAAGACAAAAAGCAACAGATGCAAACGACCAAAGGTGACCAAAGCACCTCATCCTGGATCTCTTTCCGCAGGTCCGCCGCCAGCAAAGCATTTCGCACTGCACCCAAGGGCTCAGACAAAGAGCCATGGGTTCGGGCAATGGCTTCTAAGATCTCAGCCTCTGCCTGGTTGAAGCCTCGAGACTCTCGGGTCTCTTGCGACTCAGCCTGTTCTCGCAACAGTTGAAGCTCCCGATTGGCCGCTTGAAGACCAATCATCGGCTCCATCAGTCCACGCCGTGCCTCTAACTCTACATCCAAGGCGCCGGTCAGGCGATGCAAAAAGCCGAGACTTCGGAAGATTCCCATGGCTTCGGAGGCCAAAGAGATACTCTGCCTGAAACGACCCAGTCGCAAACAAGCTCGACCTGCCTCCACATGTGCCGAAGCCATGCCTCGTCGCGATTCCGACTGACTGTCGGCACTGAGGCTACTAAGGCTGGAGGTGTAAATATCTGCAGATCGCTCTGCTGCTTGCAACGTCTCCTCCGCTGTGGATGTACCCACACCCGTGGGCCCCATCGGCACCATCTCTCTGTGCCGGTGAACTTCTGCAATGCGCAGCCACGCAGCGGCCTCAGCTTGCTTATCTTGCCGTCTCTGAGCAGCAGCCAAGAGTTCCATGGCAGCCCGCATGGCATCATCATAGGCACCTCGTGCCAGTTGTGTCGTCACTTGCATTGACAAGGCCAAGGTTTGAAGCCGTGACTCGCTGGGAGGTAACTCTGTGGCTAAGGAGCGCAAGTCTTTGGCTTGTTGCACTGCATCACTCAGACGACCATCTCCCAGACTCAATGAAACTTCGGCGAGTTTCACTGCGGCTTTGAAAGACAGGTCTTGACTTTGAGCTTTTTCAGCTGCTTCCTTCACCTCGGCGCCCAACCGAGGAAAGCACCTGTGCATAGATATGATTAGATATGGGCATAGTATTATGCATCAAAAACACTCAAAAGAAGACAACACGCATAAACCTGGCTTCACAACATGTTCTTGTCTGTCTTTGCTGGCCTGCCCACAAGAAAGCCCATGACTCACAATTACAAAACGATTTGACTCCAAGACAAAGGTTTTGAGGTCCCTACTTGGGGGTGCAGTTCTAAAAAATTGTCCACTAATAAGTGGCTATAGTTCACCATGGTTCTAGCCGTTATATCCCAACTGTTCTTACCATCGTCAGTTTGCTTTAAATCACATGGTACCCATCACCTTCCCCGCTGCGGCACCAAATCATTCGCCGGAATCCCAAGGCGTTGCTTTGCGCGGACCTTGGGCAACCCGTTGGCAGACAACGACAACGACAACGACAACGACAACAACAACGACAACAACAACAACAACAGCGTCCTGATCAGCTGAATACCAATGTTTTTTTTGCAAAAAATAAGATTTGGATAAATACAGCTTCTATGTGAATCACTGAGAAATCAGTTCAACGCTTAGAGAGAGTTCATCACTTCTAAGTCAGCTTTGAGTCCATATTCAGCTTCGACTTGGGACATCATCGCCCCACCACCGATTTGGGGATGTCATTGGATCACCCTGGCTGTCCCGCAAGCGGGTTTGTCTCAAAATTTGCAGGTCCCGCATTGTTCATTGAATTGGAAAAGAACATGATATTTCATCTGGAAAACCAGAGACTTTTCAGTTAAGAGTTTTCCTTCAACCAATCCAGTGAATCCTCAATATTGTTTGTTTTTTCCATTGTAATCCCGATATAATCTCAATATAATCCCTATTAAACCATGTATATAACCATATATAACCATATAAAACCACGCTTTCTCACCAGTTTCCCCATCTTGCCGGCCCGCCATTTCCGGAAGCCTTCGACCCCTTTGGCGCCCCAGGCTGTACCTGGGTCTCCGCACGAGCACGTGCAAAGCCACTGGCGCTTTGCCAGACCTTTGCGACTCGGACAGCGCATCCTCTGCAGACCTGTCGGACGGAGGGAACTCCCAGGAACTTGGAGGTTTTTGAGGAACAAGATGACGAAAAATGATGATATAAACAGTTTTTAACAGTGACAAGTGATGATAAATGATGATAAATCAGTGATAAATGATGATAAAGAGTAATAAATCATGGACGTTTCATAGGTCTTCGGATGTTTTGTGTCCGACTTTTGAGAGAAAATCTCGTGTCGGTGTAAGAAGTGGCCTGGCCTGACGCTCAATTGCAAGTCGCCGTTGTCCAAATGCTTCTCGGCTGCTTCATATGTCTCCATGATCTCAGGGTGTGAGAAGGCAGATCGACTCAACACTGCAAGAAAATCAAGAAATGTGTGTGGCAAAGCCAATGATCAATCTCGATTTGGGGCAATTTATACGCGCCTTGTGCGATGCCACAGCCCAACAAGCTCGAGCCACACGGCCGCATTCGGGCAATCATCAAGCTATTTTGGTTTCAAATGTTGCCCGATGTTATTTCCATAGCTTTTCTGGACAAATTCATGGTATATTTCCATCTCCTGACTTTTCTCGCTGCATGTATGTGTATATAATATATATATATATCACTCTCTCTCTCTCTCTTTCTCTCTCTCTCTGGCATCTGCTTGCAGCACAATAGCTCTCTTGTTTGTTTCGCGATTGTTTGCTAGAAAGACGCGAAGAAAGTTTGTCCAGATATCCAGCCAGAAATATCGAGAGAAGAGGCTTCCCACCAATATTAAACCTTCTACAGGTGAATTGTGTAAATTGCTTGCAGTTTGGAATCCTCTTGGAAAAACATGGGCTTCCAGCCACAGCCTGTCTCTCGATCGTTGTCTGAAACTCGATCCCAAGACAACTCAATTGAGATAAGAGATGTTCAGACAGGGTTCAAACATCTCTAAAATTGTGGCGTGAATCGCCTCACGGCCCAATGCATCACACAGCAGCTTGGAGTGCCCTTGCCAAATCCTCACCACGCAAATTCCAGTGCAGCAACTTGCAAACATGCAAAGTCCAAGCTGCTACTTCATACATGTTGCATGTTTTCTCTTCACCAAACGAATGTTGTTTGGTGTGTGCCATTGGTTCCTTTCCCTTTTTTGACAGATGAGCCTACATGCGTACAAGAATACATACATAAACATGATTAAACATGTATGTATGTACATATATATATATATTATATATATATAGAGAGAGAGAGAGCGATACTGTACATGTTGTGTTCAAAGACTGGCTTCAAGCAAATGTAGGTCATTAAGGTCGGAAGATTGTGCTTGCAACCCTCTGGGAATGGTCGGTTTTTTACACGATTTGTTAGATGAGAAACTTCCAAGCTCAGGTACTTAGCTTGGTGAAAAAAAACTAGAGAAGGAAAAAAACATTGAAAAGCAGCAGCTCCAAAACAAGTGCGTCACCTGCTAGAACGGCAATACCAAGAACACGACTTTACACCAATTCCGAACCACAAGGCTTTGGTTTATTTAAATACCACCTGTTTGCACCCGCCCACAGATTGCAACTTATCCTTGGCGGTTGCAGCAAAAGCAGAACTTGACATGGACAGTTTACAAGACACACAGCGCAACAAACAACACACAGAAAGTGCCTCTGCCTTTTCCACGGTGTAACCAACGATTCCGCCCTGAGAACGCACCATCTCGATCGTCGCGGCCTGAAAGTCTGAACGCGGCGGGCCACTTGTCAGGTCACCCTCGTCCCACGTGCTGCACACACATTCAAACCCTTGCAGAGCAGCTGTAATCCGAAATCAGATTCTGACCCAAAAATGTAGGTGCCAAAGTACTAGCTCCGCAAACGACACGTCAGAAGTACTGGGATTCAAATTCCATTCGTCAGACCAGCCTTGAATTTGGGGATGTAGCTGGCAGTTGCGTCCTGGCCCATTGGCCAATTCCAATGATGGTGTAGGACAACCACACCATGTGGCCCATATGCTACTATGGCGTCCTGCCAATTCCAACGTGTATAACACATTTATTATATATATATACAGATATATATATATATAGATTCTATATATATATATATACATATACACATCAAGAATCTCTTGACCAATCCCTGTTGGGAAAAAGAGATGAAGTCAAGAATCCCGTGCGGGTCCTCCACAAGGACACATTCATAGCCACGGTCGTTGGCTTCTCGCATCGTCGTTTGGACACAGACCTGAAGAAATTCGTCTCAGCTGGGAATGGCGGCAATAAAAAACCATCGAAATGATGGGGAAAATGAGTTTTAAAACCCTGAGATGATTCCCATGTTTAATTTTGTCTGAAGATATACCAAAAGTCCCGGACTAAAAGCTCATTCTCCCCGTTACAATTCCTTTTCTTGGCAAAGCAAATGAAGTAAATCCTCATATTTGAACAAACCCTAAATCATCGTATTGTTGGGTAGTTCTGTCCCTCATTTTATATCCCCTCCCATGGAAAAATTCCCCATCCCGTCACAACCCCCACATTCTTCGCCTCCGTCGTCACTCCGCAAACGATGAGGTGGCTCACACCCTTTGCACGGAGGATCTCATTGAGGCCGGTCAGGAAAAAGGCCCCTTTGCCTGGACGTTGAAGTACCCGGAGACACAAAAATCATGAAAAGTCCATGACCAGATTTAAAGTCCCCAATTTTGATACGTTGGATCCTGAATCCATCTGCCATAGTCTCCATGAGGATTCTAACATGACCTGACCTTCAGCAATCTTCAGCACCCGGCCTGGCTTTGGCACCACAATCTCACCATCCTTGGATCAAGCCATGATAGGTTTCCACATCAGCTTAAAGCTGGTTGATGATTCCTGTGGAAAAGTCCTGGATTTCACCACCGGTCCAAGCAGCACGAGGCTTCGCAACGTCCACAAAATCATTGCCCGGTGAGCCGTCCACCAGTAGCCGGCCCATGCCTTCAGCCAAAACCTGCCAAATCTTCAGCCTATTGTGATGTTTTCTGAAATTTTGGGGAAACAAATTGGGATAGAATGGGTATATAATGGAATGGCGATATAGGGGAGATACAATGTGGACATAATGGGCATGTAATGGGATGTACGACCAACAGCAATGGGGGATACCTCAAAAAAAACAGGTTTGAATGGGGGAGAGGATTTCTTAGCATCATTTTTGTTGAGGCTTTCTCAAACAGCTTCGACAAACCCAAATCATGGCCATATCCCCATTTTATGCCCATGATATGCTCATGGCCCATTCCACTGGCCTTCCCAATGCGCTTGTCCTCTGGAGGGCACCGTGGCCCACTGAGTTTCATTTCCTGGCGAAGAGCGTCCGAAACAACTAACACCACAGCAGTTCTCAGAACCTGTGGTTCTGTGGTTTGGAAAATGTCTTGACAAAATACAAATCTATATAATTCTATATTCAGAAAGAAGTCAATCATTGCTTGAATCTTTTGGTTTCACGTGGCAACATTGTCAACAAAATGTGACACAGCTGGGCAGCCGCACACAGCAGTCCGACAAGTCCTCAAGGTGGGCCTTAGAAGGAAAAATTCAGTGCAAAACGTGTGCTTAACACGGCTGATATTATTTGAAGTGATGTATAACACAAATATAGCATATACATACTGCATCATGTATGTGTATGTATAGATCTGTATATAATATAATATACTATAATATGATCTGTATATAATATAATATAATATAATATAATACAATATAATATAGTATAATATAATATAATATAATACAATATAATATAATATAATATAATATAATATTAATATAATATAATATAATATACTATAATATATATATATCATGCATAATACAATATATATATATATTATAAAATTATAAAGATACATAGACTACACACTATACACGATGTGTATGTCATGAGACATTCCGAAATCTCAAAGTTCAACAGTTTCTCGGTGCTGCACCTCTTTGGTATGAATGATTGCTGCCAGTGGCAAGTTCCTCGCTGCTTCAAGCAGTTTGGCAGCACCTAACGCAACAATCGGGGATTTAAGCAGTAAAAATTGGATTTCCATGTGATGACAAAGTTTTTGTTCCTTGTCATATATTGTATCTTTCTTTATTCCAGACTCTTACACAGTGTTTTTCATGCATCCTTTGCAGAATTGATCAGCTGCAAGACAAGGCAAACAAACTAGTTCACTTGGGCAATAATGGGTGCTGACTCTTGCTGGCACCTGGTAAGCATTCATCGGCAAGTTTGGTCACATCGTTGCCCAGAGCATGTCCAAAACCTCCCACGTCCAAAAAATCCTTCCTTGGCTGCAAGAATGGTCACAGTTGAGCCTTTGAAACCAAATTCATATCTCTGACTGTTTACCTTCTGGCCATTAATTTGACTCGGCATTGAAAGGTTTCCACCACTTAATCATGCAACCAATCTTTGTTCCAAGCTGCTGGAAATCAATGCAGACGAGCGCTGTGGATTTCAAAGGCAATGAAACAGGCCTCAGCTAGTTCAAATGTCAGTCACTGTGTCACCACGTCAACAAATTACCATCAATGTCCTGGTTGTATTTGCAACAGTAACTTATTTACCATCTAGATAGCCTTCCAACATGATGCAGGAACCGTCAGGAACCCCACTGGCTACACCAAAATGTGCAACGTGCCAACGTCTCTGAGTTTTCATGCTTTGGGAGAGTGTTGACTTTGGCGATGGGGCCCTCCATTGCTGCCTTTGCAGCAAAATGTTCATCAGCCTGGCGAAATGTGAATCTGATTCCAGAAATGTTTTGTTTTTCATGAAAATGTGCATCAATTAGACAATTTCCGAGTAAAATTTTCACAAGACAAACGATCCATGTTCACCATTTGTCAATCACGAATCTGTTTGCCGGTTTTGTTTTTTGTTTCAGTGTCAGTTTTTAGTAACACATGAATCACATGAATGAATTTCATGGGCAACTGTGATTGATTACATTTCAAATGGTTTCAGGATATTTTTGTGCCACCTGTTGGCCCCGGGCACGCTTAACTGCTCCATTGTCAGCAGCTGCTGGCCGCTTCTTTGGTGCCATGGCTGACGAATCGAAACGTGCAAAATGTCAAGCGTGTCAAGCAAACAAACCGAAAAGGGTGACATCTGGTGTGTCTTGCCTGCCAATTTTTGAAGTGTGCACGAATGAAAACGTACATTGTGAATTTTCACTGGCATGTACCTTTTTCAGTTCCAACGTGTTCCCCATCAGGCAGCAAGGTACCAACACATAAAGTACTAACTTGAACCGTCAAAGCAACGCAATAAACGGGGTTCCCAAATTTTCCCATCACAACCAGACAAACATTGAAATTTTGTCGAAATCAACCGCTAAAATGGTTTCAACTCACGTGCAAACAATGTTGCCACCATGTTTCAAGCCTTGAGACACGTACACCCGTTTTGGTTTGCATCATCTGAAATTTTACACCATCCACAAAATTGCGTTCATTCTAAGATACTTTGCGTTTCAACCCAGAAAAACATACCGTTTTGGTAATTTTGACAAAAAAAATAACACACGGCCCGGCGGTGCCAAGGCTGACTGTTTGAAAATTTAGTTTCCCCAGGCACCCAACACAACCACAGCGGCAGCTAAAGGCGCCCGTTTTCTTGAACCATACATGGGTTAGCACCTGGTTGATATGGTGCATGTCATCCTTGCGCAACGTGGCCATGCTAAACCAGCAACAATTGTTACACTTCTCGATTGTTTTGAGGACTGAATGCGGTACACCTTCTTTGGTTTCCCACACCATCACACTCCCCCCATGACCATTGGTCATGTGCCAAAAAAGAAGTATTGGTGGTCACTTTGACCAGAAATTCCCAAAATCCTGAAGTTTTTCACATGTCCTCCTCCTCACTCTCTGGTGCTGATGCCCCATCTCTTCGGTCATCGGGTTGGTCAGTCACCAAGGAGAAGTCGCTGTCGGTGGTTTCCTCTGATTCCACCGCCTCTTCACAAGTTGATGCAGCGTCCACCGTAGCCCCATGCAGAAAATCCTAAATCAGGATCGCTGACATCTCCACGGTTGGACTCCAAATAGTGAGTCCTTCTTCTGGCTGGAGGCTCTGGTGCTCGTGGAAGATGTAGAACAGGTGGCAGTGGAGCTTGTAGGGCGCGTAGCGTTGCGTCTCGAACGCGTTCCCCTTCTCTCACGCTCAAGGCGGGTCTTGTTTGGATTGGCCGTGGGCCTGACCAGCACAGTGCTTCCAGCTGGAATGCCATGTGCTGCCTTCGCCACATGCATCGGCATAGAGCTCGCGGAGGTTCCTCCAAGCCGCAATGAAGATGCCATTTTTCCTCCGGGTGCGGCCACTATTGCTCATATGGCACGGTCCTTTATTTTCAAAAAGTCAGCAAAGCCATAGGATCCAGAAGGGCTTGGTGGCCACAGCTCACTGGGTGACAAGTGCCACCTTCCCACCACTTCACTCCCCGGAACCAGCCACAGACTAGCTTCCATTGAAGAGCTCCACATTGGCGGAATGCTCGGCCATGAGCCAGCATTCCCATATCGGCTTGTGCTCATTGCCGAGCGTAAACGGGAGAGATTTCCGCTGTCCAAGCCTGTTTTGGTTCCATTTTTGGGCCCTGCTTTGGGGCCCCGTGATTTTGTTTTTAATTCATGGGCACCAAAGCGGTACCTAAAAATGGAACCCAAACAATGCCCAAAATTGGACCCAAATCAAGACCCCAAAACGCAATCCCGGACCGCCAACTTTGTCGGAAGACGCAGACAAGGTTCGTGTAGGCATGATCTTCAGTCAGTGGCCTGCTCAGCAATCTTATTCAACTGTCTGCAGCAAACCGAGAACTTCAACCAAAGAACGAAAGATAAACTTAGGCCGAGGACGGGCCCACCCCCTCCGTCAAACGGGGGGTAGTAGTAGTAGTAGTAGTAGCAGTAGCAGTTGTAGTAGTAGTAGTAGTAGTAGTAGTAGTAATAGTAGTAGTAGTAGTAGCAGTAGTAGTAGTAGTAGTAATAGTAATAGTAGTAGTAGTGGTAGTAGTAGTAGTAGTAGTAATAGTAGTAGTAGTAGTAGTAATAGTAGTAGTAGTAGCAGTAGTAGTAGTAGCAGTAGCAGTAGCAGTAGCAGTAGCAGTAGCAGTAGCAGTAGCAGTAGCAGTAGTAGTAGTAGTAGACTTCATCTTTAAATTCCACCCCCCTCTGCCTTGCTTCACAGACCTTCAGTCTCAATCTAGACTTCATCTTTAAATTCCACCCCCGTCTGCCTTGCTTCACAGACCTTCAGTCTCAATCTAGACTTCATCTTTCAATTCCACCCCCCTCTGCCTTGCTTCACAGACTTTCAGTCTCAATCTAGACTTCATCTTTAAATTCCATCCCCCGCCTCCCCTGCCTCAATTCAAGGGGGGGCTTAATCTAGACTTCATCTTAAATTCCTCCCCCGCTGCCTTGCTTCACAGACAAACTTTCAGTCTCAATCTAGGCTTCATCTTTAAATTCCATCCCCCGCTGCCTGGCTTCACAGACTTTCAGTCTCAATCTAGACTTCATCCTTAAAGTCCACCCCGCTCTGCCTTGCTTCACAGACTTTCAGTCTCAATTAGATTTCATCTTTAAATTCCACCCCTCTCTGCCTTGCTTCACAGACGTTCATTCTCAATCTAGACTTCATCTTTAAATTCCATTCTCCCTGCCTCAATTCACAGACCTTCAGGGTCAATCTAGACTTCATCTTTAAATTCCACCCCCCCGCCTCAATTCACAGACCTTCAGTCTCAATCTACGCTTCATCTTTAGGTTCCACCCCCCCTGCCTTGCTTCACAGACCTTCAGTCTCAATCTAGACTTCATCTTTAAATTCCACCCCCCTCTGCCTTGCTTCACAGACCTTCAGTCTCAATCTAGACTTCATCTTTCAATTCCACCCCCCCTGCCTTGCTTCACAGACCTTCATTGAATCTCAATCTAGACTTCATCTTTCAATTCCACCCCCCTCTGCCTTGCTTCACAGACTTTCAGTCTCAATCTAGACTTCATCTTTAAATTCCATCCCCCGCCTGACCTGCCTCCAAAGAAACCCCCAATGTGGTCATTGACCTTCGAGGTGCGGGCAGGTCGCTTCCCTCCTCTTCCCCATCTGTGGTTACCCGCGCTTCCGTCGCGTGTCCCACCCCGTCTGTTCACACCATGGCATCTGGGTCTTGCGTGCCTGGTACGGTTGGTACCCCGTCGGTGGCTACTGTCAGGTCTCCTGCCCCGGTGTCTCCCCCTCAAACCTTGGGGAACTCCGCGCCAGGCGCTGGTACGCCTTCGGTTCACACGCCCTTGCCCCATCATCCGGGGCTGGAAGGATCATTACAAAAGGTTGATAAGAGCTGGGTTGGGCATGATTCTGCTAGATCTCCCCCCCGGCGGTTCCCTAAAGGTCGACCCCCCTAAAAAGAATTAGAGGGAAACGAAAGTGTGATGAACAAAACGGGATTAGTTCTGTTGGGATATCTGCTTCCCCTGCTAAGTCCATTCAAAGTTGTTCTAGCGCTTGGCCTATTACCCCCGAAAGAGTTTGGAGTGAAGACCCTCCTGAATATGGGGAAAAGCCTAGTGAAGGGGAACCCTTCTCATCCAGTGGATCACAACCGGTTGGTCTTGACTCGGGTCCCCCTAAAAAGCTTTCCAGGATCGAAATTCAACAACAGTGGAAAAATCGAATGACTGAAAAACCTCCTCTTAAACTTCCCAAAATCACCATGGCCCCTCAAAGTGAAGCTTCGGGAGTTTGGTGGAGATGCCCCCAATGTCAGTTTGAGGTCACTTGGGATGATAAGTTTCGGTATAATACCAAATATTACCATCTCAAAAATGTCCATGACACTAAGGATAATTTCACCACTCAAAAGAACCAGTCTCTCAGTATTCTCCCTAAACGTATCCCCAAGGCTCAAGAAGCGCTTGATGCTCGTTGGGAACAACACCACAAAGCGTACTGTGAACTCAGATGGCCTGGCTCCCATGACATCGAGCTCAAACCGTCTTCATGGAGAAAAAGTGGATTGGTCGGTGTCAAAGCTTTCCATTTGTGCAAACTTTGTGGACTGGAAGTTTCTCGCGATGCCATTCTACGTCACGGATGCAGCAAAGCTGAACATACACCTCCTCCATTAGATGAGAGAAAGACCATTTGGGGTCAGTGTAAAAAGAGAGCCAGGGAGGCTCTTGGCATGCGCCCCTTGAGAACGAACAGACCGAAGGCGCGTAAAGCCAGCGACAAAGGACCTTCCTCTTCTATGGCCAGAACTGGGTTGCGGGGGGTCAGGGTTGGCGAAGCCAAAAATCCTGGTCCCATTGACCGAAATCTTAAAATGTGGTCTGTCAACTGCAGATCCTTCCGAACGAATGGTTACATGTTTCTGGATGAAGCTGCACACCATGGTGTCCATCTTGTTGCGTTTCAGGAAACCAATCTTACTAAACAACAGTGTGTTTCGGTTGACCATGTTTGCAGAAACAAAGGGCGGCAGCTGATCCATGCTCCGAAGTCAAACACTGGCAATAGAGGTGGTGTTGCCGTGGCAGTTCAGCTGCCTTTTGTCACCTCTATTCAAAAGAAAATCATTACCCCGGAATACCAGACTCTTGTTTGTTGTGTTCAAGGGCAACAACGGGATTTCAATGTTGTGGTTCATTATCGGCATCATTCTGATAAGGGTAATGAAGGTATTTTAAGCATCATTGACTTTCTTGAAAGGGATTGCCCCAATTCGTGGATTCTTGCTCTGGATAGTAATCTTAATGTGGTTTCTGATCCTATCTTTGACCGAATCAAACTCCAGAATGGTCTCTGCATGGCGGTGGCTAGACACAATGCTAGTAAGCACCCCATTGATGCCATTTTTGCTTCTGAGAACTTGTGTCATGGTGCTGTTTCTCAGGAGCTGCCGTGCATGGGTGGAGACCATTCTACTGCCCAAACCATCTTTAATCTCCGGGTGACCAAGTGTGGCCGCCCGCTCATGCGGTTCGCTAAGCCTCGAAAAACCTCTCATCAGGACTCTCCGGAGCCTGTTGAGTGGAATGATGTTGCTGTTTCGAATCAACGCTGGAGCGAAGCTCTAAAAGACCCCGAAACGGCCTTTAAAATGTGGGCTTCCGATGCCGAGCAATGGCTGGTGAAATCTGGTTTGTTGCAGGATCAACGTCCCGAAAAAACCTTGGCCGAAAGCCCCAAACTGCTCTCTGGAGCTCACCGCATGGGATCCCTTCAGAGCCTTGCTGAAAGACAAATCCGAAGGTTGTTGCGAAGACTGCAGGAAGCTCATTTTTTACAACTCCAAGGACGACCAGTTCCCACACCCCTGCGAAACAGGTTGATTTGCACTGGGTCTGTGCCTCAAGCTGAGCGTGATGCCATCAAACGCGGGGCGTGGGGACTGGCCATCAAACTCGTTACTGAGCGTTTACGTCTGATTCAGACCAACGCCAAGAACCAAAGAGTTTCTGAGTGGAAGAAATTCGTGCATACCATCCCTGGGGCATGCAGGCGGGTACAACGCGAATCTCCCAAGCCCATGGTCATTGAAGTTGGTGGTGGCAATGTGGTTACCTCCCCTGTTCAAGCTGTGGAGTTTCTCTCGCAGGCTTGGGGCGAGACATTCGGTTGTAACACCCCCCAGGTTGATGTCCAAACATTCGTGAACCATTTCCCGAATTCTATGCCGGATGCTCAGGATCCACCTAACTTGCCGACCATCAATTGTCGTGATGTCAAAAAAGCTGCCATGGACATGTCTTCCAAAGCTGCGGGGCCTGACGGATGGGAAGCTAGGTGGATCGCTGAGCTTCCTCAACCGGCCTTAATTCGACTGGCTCAGCTCTATGCCTTGTGTGAAACAAAAGGGGTGTGGCCATCCAGTATGATTCATTGGAGAATCGTATTTCTACCAAAATCTAAGCCTAATCAATGGCCTAGCCCACTTGAGATGAGACCCATCTGTATCGGGAGTGTTCTTTATCGTATGTGGACCCGTATCCGATTGACCCATCTCAGAAACTTCCTCACTCAATTCCTGGTTCCATATCAATCCGGGGGTATTGGGGGACCTAGTGTTCAGGATTTGCTTATTTCTTGGCACCAAGAATTTGGGGACTATGATTACTGTTTAGCCCTGGATTACCAAAAAGCGTTTGACTCCATGGATTACATCCTTCCGATCCATGTCATGGAACAGGTTGGGGTTCCCATGCAAATCTGTAACCTCATTCGTTATCAATGGGATAATCACAAACGATGGTGTAGCTTTAATGGAACGGTTCACCCTCAACCTTTGGTCAATTCTAAGGGCATTCCTCAGGGTGACGGTTGGTCTCCTATTGCGTTGTCCTTGGTCTTGTCTGTTGTCCAACGGTACCAAACTCGCCACGTCCCGTGTGCCAAAACTTTGTTGTATATCGACGACCGTACTATCCTTGCGCGCAACATGCAGGATCTCACAAATGCACTTCACCTCTGGCAACGGCTGGAGGATGTTACGCGCATGCGCACTAATGCTCGCAAAACCCAGCCCATCGCGCGCTCGGGGGATGCGTACGAATCTCTCAAACAGCAGGGTTGGGAGGCTCTTCGGGTGGGGACTGTGCTTGGGGTCTCTCTCGGCATGTTTCCTCGGTCTCCTACTCTAAATGAAACTAAACGTGCTGATGGTCTCGCTACCATTGCTCGGCGCATCGGTGTGCTCCCCGTCACGCGTAAATTTCGCGCACTGCTTGCTTCTCTCGTCTTGACCAGTAAAGCGTCCTGGGGCTGGGTTCTCAATGGCCTCTCTCCCAGTAATGTCATGCTGGATCGGGCGTACAAAGTCGCTGTTCATCATCCTTACACCCACCTGCACTCGTCCACTGATCTCCGTAAGTTCTTTCTGTGGTGTCATCGGTCTGACTTGCAGTTCGTTGTCGCTCAAAACTTTTTGGTGGCTCTGACCAAATGGCGGTCAAAACACCATAATGTCCCCTGGAATGACAACACCCCTCTGATCAAGTCTCTGCGTACCACCTTGTCCAAACTCCTCTGTCGGTTTGATAATTCGGGTCGGGTTACTTGGTCCTTGGGGTCGTGGGATACGTCTTGTCCCCCTTTGTGGTGCACTCGTCTTGCACACAATCTTCGCACGCATTGGCGAATGCTGCGTCTCGAGAATTGGCTCAAGTGTTCTCGCAATGATGCGCAGGTGGCACGACAGTCTGGTCTCGTTGTTACCTCTTCTCTCGTCGAATCTATCCATCAGTCTTCTCAGCACGTCACGGGTCATGAATCTGCTGTCTTGTCTGGTGGTTTGCGTACTGCGGCTCACGCTGCCAAAAAACCTACCCATTGCGCGCTGTGTCACAATGAGGTCTGCCCAACCACCGATCACATCTATTGGTTCTGTTCCCATTTCCAGCATCTTCGTCAGTGGCCCCGTCCCATTAATGATATGATTGCTAGGGTCGGTTGGAACACCAATGGTATCCAATATCCTATTGTCCAACAAATGGCACGTATCAGACAGGCGTTAGCTATTATCACCAAAAGAAATACCAACCAATCTAATGTGGATGAGGGGGGGGCGGGGGGGGGGGCGGGGACCCCCTGAGGACTTCGGTTGCCCTTCGCTGGTCGCGTCCCCGAGCTAGGGAGCGACTTCAAATGCGGTGCGATCAGATTAGATTAGCCAGCCAAGACCTACCTCCACGTGGTGCTGGCGCGCGCAACTTGGAATTGCGTGCGAAAGGGTTAGGAACAACATAAAAGCCAGTAGGGCCAAAGAGCGGGGTCGCGGGGTCACTGCGACCATGAAAAATCAAAAAACAAAAGAAAAAAGAACATGAAAAGGAAAAAGGTGGACGGGCCACAGTGGCCAAAGAGCGAGGTCACTGCGACCAAGGTAAATCAAAAAAAAGAAAAAGACAGTTGAAAAAAGAAAATGTGGACGGGCCGCAGGGGCCAAAGAGCGGGGCCACTGCGGCCGGGAAAAAGGCTGGCTAGCTGTGCTGTTGCTGTCTCTCGACTTCGATCGTCGTTCGGTCGGTGACAACACGTCACATTTCGACATTAGCCCGCTCTGGGCTCCCAACAGCTCGGCCGCGGTGGGAGCTATGGCGACGTTTTGGCTTGCAGGTGGACCAAGGACATGTCCCTCAAAAAACTTTTTGGAGCTTATGGGGCATTTATCTCATAGTTTGTTTCACTATGTTGCAACTGGGGTGTTCGCGACGCAAAAGACGTAGGAATACCCGCGTTAATTAAAAGAGGCATCCCCAGGACCAAGGTTTCTCCCCTCCCTTGGACCCAGGAAATGCAGGTATGCAGCTCGATCGCGCAAAAAACACGCGCGCATGTTCACAGTAACAAGCGAAGTGTCTTGTATCACCAACGCCGACTTCATGCGCGCAACGATAGGTTCATTGTGCGGCAACAGCGGAAAAATCTCATTAATCACTGAAAACCCTGACAATTTTGATCACGCGCAACCCGAGGAAAGGTTCACCAGTCAGAAAATTCAGTGGATAAAAAACCTCCCTGTTCAAGGTGGCGCTGCTGACGCTGCTGCTGCCAAGCACAGGGCCAAGCAGCGAAAACAAACCAACAATGTCATACGTACTCTGATCAACTCCCTCAAAACGTGTCTTAACCATGGCAATCCATTGGATTCCGTGCTTGGTTTCCTTCAGCAAATGGTTCCGGAACCATCCAAAAAAAGGAAAAAACCCAAAAACCAAAACTACCCGCAACAATGAGATCAAGTTCTGGAAAGGATACCCTACCGTATTGATCAAAATGGATGGTGGACTTGGGTTTCTACTGAGGCGAACAAGGTTCCCAAGGTTCCGCGCCCTTAAACCAGCCCATGCGGACGCGCGCAAACCTACCGACCCCCTCCCCTCGCCAAGAGCCCGCAAGAAAGGAACAGCACTTGGATCACCTCCCTGCGTCTGGAAGACTGGTACGTGGGTTGAAGGTACTGCTCTCCAGACGTTCTCCGAAAAGTACGGGCTCCCCGTGGTCATCTGGTCTCACAAAACCAATGTCTGGACACGTATGGTCGTTGCTCCCAGGTTCAGTTCGGACGTGGCGGGCACTAAGGATTCTGTTCCTCTGTGTTTGCAACTCAAGGATCAACACTATCAGATTTTGGTCCCTTCCGATCAAGGTAAGGTCCCCTCCAACTGGTTAAAAGAAACCTCCATGTGGTCATTGACCTTCGAGGTGCGGGCAGGTCGCTTCCCTCCTCTTCCCCATCTGTGGTTACCCGCGCTTCCGTCACATGTCCCACCCCGTCTGTTCACACCATGGTATCTGGATCTTGCGTGCCTGGTACGGTTGGTACCCCGTCGGTGGCTACTGTCAGGTCTCCTGCCCCGGTGTCTCCAAACCTTGGAAACTCCGCGCCAGGCGCTGGTACGCCTTCGGTTCACACGCCCTTATCCCATTATCCGGGGCTGGAAGGATCATTACAAAAGGTTGATAAGAGCTGGGTTGGGCATGATTCTGCTAGATCTCGCCCCCGGCGGTTCCCTAAAGGTCGACCCCCCTAAAAAGAATTAGAGGGAAACGAAAGTGTGATGAACAAAACCGGATAAAGGACCTTCCTCTTCTATGGCCAGAACTGGGTTGCGGGGGGTCAGGGTTGGCGAAGCCAAAAATCCTGGTCCCATTGACCGAAATCTTAAAATGTGGTCTGCACACCATGGTGTCCATCTTGTTGCGTTTCAGGAAACCAATCTTACTAAACAACAGTGTGTTTCGGTTGACCATGTTTGCAGAAACAAAGGGTGGCAGCTGATCCATGCTCCGAAGTCAAACACTGGCAATAGAGGTGGTGTTGCCGTGGCAGTTCAGCTGCCTTTTGACACCTCTATTCAAAAGAAAATCATTACCCCGGAATACCAGACTCTTGTTTGTTGTGTTCAAGGGCAACAACGGGATTTCAATGTTGTGGTTCATTATCGGCATCATTCTGATAAGGGTAATGAAGGTATTTTAAGCATCATTGACTTTCTTGAAAGGGATTGCCCCAATTCGTGGATTCTTGCTCTGGATAGTAATCTTAATGTGGTTTCTGATCCTATCTTTGACCGAATCAAAGTCCAGAATGGTCTCTGCATGGCGGTGGCTAGACACAATGCTAGTAAGCACCCCATTGATGCCATTTTTGCTTCTGAGAACTTGTGTCATGGTGCTCTTTCGCAGGAGCTGCCGTGCATGGGTGGAGACCATTCTACTGCCCAAACCATCTTCAATCTCCGGGTGACCAAGTGTGGCCGCCCGCTCATGCGGTTCGCTAAGCCTCGAAAAACCTCTCATCAGGACTCTCCGGAGCCTGTTGAGTGGAATGATGTTGCTGTTTCGAATCAACGCTGGAGCGAAGCTCTAAAAGACCCCGAAACGGCCTTTAAAATGTGGGCTTCCGATGCCGAGCAATGGCTGGTGAAATCTGGTTTGTTGCAGGATGAGCTCACCGCATGGGATCCCTTCAGAGCCTTGCTGAAAGACAAATCCGAAGGTTGTTGCGAAGACTGCAGGAAGCTCATTTTTTACAACTCCAAGGACGACCAGTTCCCACACCCCTGCGAAACAGCTTGATTTGCACTGGGTTTGTGCCTCAAGCTGAGCGTGATGCCATCAAACGCGGGGCGTGGGGACTGGCCATCAAACTCGTTACTGAGCGTTTACGTCTGATTCAGACCAACGCCAAGAACCAAAGAGTTTCTGAGTGGAAGGAATTCGTGCATACCATCCCTGGAGCATGCAGGCGGGTACAACGCGAATCTCCCAAGCCCATGGTCATTGAAGTTGGTGGTGGCAATGTGGTTACCTCCCCTGTTCAAGCTGTGGAGTTTCTCTCGCAGGCTTGGGGCGAGACATTCGGTTGTAACACCCCCCAGGTTGATGTCCAAACATTCGTGAACAGTAATCATAGTCCCCAAATTCTTGGTGCCAAGAAATAAGCAAATCCTGAACACTAGGTCCCCCAATACCCCCGGATTGATATGGAACCAGGAATTGAGTGAGGAAGTTTCTGAGATGAGTCAATCGGATACGGGTCCACATACGATAAAGAACACTCCCGATACAGATGGGTCTCATCTCAAGTGGGCTAGGCCATTGATTAGGCTTAGATTTTGGTAGAAATACGATTCTCCAATGAATCATACTGGATGGCCACACCCCTTTTGTTTCACACAAGGCATAGAGCTGAGCCAGTCGAATTAAGGCCGGTTGAGGAAGCTCAGCGATCCACCTAGCTCCCATCCGTCAGGCCCCGCAGCTTTGGAAGACATGTCCATGGCAGCTTTTTTGACATCACGACAATTGATGTTTGACTCCATGGATTACATCCTTCCGATCCATGTCATGGAATTGGTTGGGGTTCCCATGCAAATCTGTAACCTCATTCGTTGTCAATGGATAATCACAAACGATGGTGTAGCTTTAATGGAACGGTTCACCCTCAACCTTTGGTCAATTCTAAGGGCATTCCTCAGGGTGACGGTTGGTCTCCTATTGCGTTGTCCTTGGTCTTGTCTGTTGTCCAATGGTACCAAACTCGCCATGTCCCGTGTGCCAAAACTTTGTTGTATATCGACGACCGTACTATCCTTGCGCGCAACATGCAGGATCTCACAAATGCACTTCACCTCTGGCAACGGCTGGAGGATGTTACGCGCATGCGCACTAATGCTCGCAAAACCCAGCCCATCGCGCGCTCGGGGGATGCGTACGAATCTCTCAAACAGCAGGGTTGGGAGGCTCTTCGGGTGGGGACTGTGCTTGGGGTCTCTCTCGGCATGTTTCCTCGGTCTCCTACTCTAAATGAAACTAAACGTGCTGATGGTCTCGCTACCATTGCTCGGCGCATCGGTGTGCTCCCCGTCACGCGTAAATTTCGCGCACTGCTTGCTTCTCTCGTCTTGACCAGTTAAGCGTCCTGGGGCTGGGTTCTCAATGGCCTCTCTCCCAGTAATGTCATGCTGGATCGGGCGTACAAAGTCGCTGTTCATCATCCTTACACCCACCTGCACTCGTCCACTGATCTCCGTAAGTTCTTTCTGTGGGGTCATCGGTCTGACTTGCAGTTCGTTGTCGCTCAAAACTTACTGGTGGCTGACCAAATGGCGGTCAAAACACCATAATGTCCCCTGGAATGACAACACCCCTCTGATCAAGTCTCTGCGTACCACCTTGTCCAAACTCCTCTGTCGGTTTGATAATTCGGGTCGGGTCACTTGGTCCTTGGGTCGTGGGACACGTCTTGTCCCCCTTTGTGGTGCACTCGTCTTGCACACAATCTTCGCACGCATTGGCGAATGCTGCGTCTCGAGAATTGGCTCAAGTGTTCTCGCAATGATGTGCAGGTGGCACGACAGTCTGGTCTCGTTGTTACCTCTTCTCTCGTCGAATCTATCCATCAGTCTTCTCAGCACGTCACGGGTCATGAATCTGCTGTCTTGTCTGGTGGTTTGCGTACAGCGGCTCACGCTGCAGAAAAACCTACCCATTGCGCGCTGTGTCACAATGAGGTCTGCCCAACCACCGATCACATCTATTGGTTCTGTTCCCATTTCCAGCATCTTCGTCAGTGGCCCCGTCCCATTAATGATATGATTGCTAGGGTCGGTTGGAACACCAATGGTATCCAATATCCTATTGTCCAACAAATGGCACGTATCAGACAGGCGTTAGCTATTATCACCAAAAGAAATACCAACCAATCTAATGTGGATGAGGGGGGGGCGGGGGGGGGGCGGGGACCCCCTGAGGACTTCGGTTGCCCTTCGCTGGTCGCGTCCCCGAGCTAGGGAGCGACTTCAAATGCGATCAGATTAGATTACGTTTGCAGGGTCTGAATATCACTGGGGCTGGCGAACCATCACATGCTCTCCTGGATGAATGTGCGCACCAGTTTGAAACAAGGATCCTCAAATACATTGAGCCTTCGCGTTGTACGAGCAGGGAAAATGAGATTACATCAGGGCGCACAGACAAAAAACTGAAGTTAGACGCTGGAAGTTTGAGCATCAAGGAATCGAAGACCATTCCGGATGAGTCTGTATCGACCACTTACAATTTGGCAACATGCTTGCGTCGGCGTGGGATTGCTTATGATTTTGCAAACTTGATCAGCTTCAGAGCACATGAACTTTATGTAGAGCGCTTACTGCGTCACCTTTCACTGGAACCACCGCCAGCCTTCCAAGCGGTGACGCTTGCCCAGGTGCTCAGAGCTGACAAGGAGGTTTTCACCTTCTTAGCACACAACGTTGCTGACATCAGGCCTGATGCTTTGGATGTACGACCTTTAGACAATGCGTTGGAGGAGGCCATGAGAGATTACAACACAACTTTTCATTTGCTACCATTGCCAAAGGCAAGCGTTGTTGAAGCTGCGCCAAAGCGCAACATCTCTGAGCCTTACCCTTCTCAAGGCAGCTACAAAGGTCGTGGAAAGGGAAAACATGGAAAGAGCAAAAGCTTTGGCTCTAATGCCGCACCGCGAGGATATAGCGGATGCGTAGGCAGGGATGGAAAGAACCGACCTATTTGCTTCGACTTTAACTTGAGCCAATGCACAAAAGCTCCCACTGGTGGAGCCTGTCCAAAAGGCAGGCATGTGTGCTTTAAGGCTGGCTGTTTCAAGGCACGCTCCTTCAAGGATGGCCATCCTGATGAAGCCAATGTCACTAAGGAGTGACTAGCCCGGCAACGCAATGGCGTTGCTGAGCCCAATGATCTCTTTTCCAGCGAACATGTGGTGGTCCTGGAACTCTTCTGTGGTACTGCAGGGGTAAGCGCGTCGTTGAAACGACTTGGACTTGATGTGGTATCTGTTGATAAGAGCATGCCAAGAGCGCCCAAGGCGCTAGTAACAAAACTTGACCTCACCTCAGTCTCAAACCAGTTGCTTGTATTGAGTTGGATCAGAAATCCCCAGATCAAAGCTGTGTTTTTGGCGCCACCTTGCGGCACAGCAAGTGCAGCAAGAAATATCCAGAAAGATGATGACCCCATGCTGCCTCAACCTTTGCGTTCAAAAGAATTTCCAGATGGTTTGCCTTCTCTATCCGGCTTTGACTTCTTGCGTGTGGAGCAGAGCAACATACTTTATGACTTTTCTGCCACTGTGTACGATTTATGTTGTGAATTGGACAAGCTGTGCATCTGCGAAAACCCACGCGATTCACTTTATTGGGAAACCACACCTTGGATGGAGCGTTCTTTCTTTACAAGAGATTGCATACAGTGCCATCAAGCATGCGCTTATGGTTCTGGAAGGCCCAAATGGACAAAGTTGGTGGCTAATTTTGCTGAAGTGGAACAGATTTCAGGTACTTGCGATGGTCAACATAAACACGATCCATGGGGCTATGAGATTCGAAACGGCAAGCGTGTTTTTGCCACCTCCTTGGAAGTGCATTATCCAACTGCACTTTGTGACAAAATTGCCAACACCATCGCAATTGCTTTACAGAAAAGGGGTATCAACATACCTCAACACGTGCCCGTTAACTTGGCAGCACGTTCGCTGGCGCAAAACCAACCAGCGACCAACAAAGTTGCGCCCATTGTACCTGAGTTCAAATCTAAATGTATTGCAATTTTTCTTCAAGATCAATGCATATGGCCTACAATGCATCAATTTTTAGGCTCAGCCAAAGCCTTGCAAAAAGTTGAAGTGGGGGGTGAATGCTTGCAGTCTTTGGTTGAATGCATCCTGGAACAATGTCGGTTGTGGAATGTTGATGTTCAATTGGACCTTGCTCCAAACGTGCTCGTCTTTCCTTGCGTTGTGAGTTTGAGATGCTTTGGATTTTTTGGAAGGAAGATGAATTTGTTGAACAAGCGATCAAAACAAAACACCCTCTATCGTTGGAATCTGCTTTGCCAAGACAGCTGCTTGATTCTATCCACCGTTCTGTATATGAAAGTGAGGTGACCATTGCAAGGGTCAGAGCTGAGTTCTTTGCTAAATGGACTAAGAGAGCTATACAGTTGGACATGGATGAGAAGGCCCTCAAGAATGGCATGCATTCTGACGTGGCGCATGCAGTGCGCAACAAGCGCATACTTTTGTTTGAAGAAATGCTTAGGGCTACTAATTTTCCCGACATGGGAGTGGTGGATGAGCTGCGTTTGGGATCTGACTTGACTGGTGAAGTTCCCCTTACAAATATGCTGCCGGGCAAATTTGAGCCAGCCCTTATTTCTGAGCAAGAACTACAGCGTAGTGCTGAGCGTGTGAGGATGGCAGCAATCCATGAAGTGCGCAGTTCTGGTGACAATGATCTTGATGAGATAGTGTGGCAAAAAACGATGGAGGAGGTTGATAAGGGTTGGCTGATAGGTCCCCTACATGACAACCAAGTGCCGGCTGATCGACCTCTCTCCAGAAGGTTTGGTCTTCGACAGAAGCAAGGCAAAGTGCGTTTGATTGATGATTTTTCTGAGTCAGGGGTCAATGCATGTGTTACTGTTTCAGAATCACCTTCTTTGCATACTGTGGATGTCGCCTGTGCGTCCCTCATGGTTTGGTTCAGTTTGTGCAAGGGTGCAAAAATCAGCAGTGATTTGGTTGTGCGTACCTTCGACCTGGCCAGCGCTTACAGGCAAGTTGGTTTGAGTGAAAGAGGTCAGAAGTTTGCTTTCCTTCGAGTTTACAACCCGAGGACAAAAAGGGCATGTTTCTTTAAATGCTTGGTTTTACCATTTGGAGCAGTTCGAAGCGTGCACTCTTTCCTGCGCTTGGCGAGGGCCTTGTGGTGGATAGGAGTTGTGGGATGCTGGATTGTTTGGACATCGTTTTACGATGATTTCATCTCCTTCAGTCGTCCCCGTTTGGCTGGAAGCACAGAACAATCAGTGACGGCCTTATTCAAACTGCTTGGATGGATTTTTGCGGAAGAAGGTGACAAAGCTCAACCCTTCGACTTGCATTGCTCTGCTTTAGGAGTACTTTTGGATTTGAGTGTTGCGTCCACAGGCGTAGCTTTGGTTTGCAACACAAAGACACGTTGTGCGGAACTTTGTGACGATTTACAAAAGGTCATTGAAGGTGGCAGCCTGACAAGTAAAAATGCCCAACGGTTGCGTGGGCGCATGCAATTTGCGGAGGCCCAGCTGTTCGGGCGCACGGGTAGACGATGCCTCCGTGTACCCACTGATTTCTCAGAGGGGAGGCGATCCAACCTGACTGACAAGGATAAGTTTTTCCTGTTGATGTTTCGCGACATGCTGGTGGCAAATGTGCCCAGAGAGGTAACAGCTTTGAGCGATGGAAACGTTGTGGTGTTCACAGATGCATGTTATGAAAGGAACCATCCTACGTGGCCTTGTGGTTTGGGTGGCGTTGCTCTTGCGGAAGGGAAGACCTTTTTCTTCTCCTTAGAAGTTGTGGAAGCACTAAGACTTGTTTTGGGTGAAGGTGAAAAGAAGCAGATTATTTTTGAAGCGGAAACACTGGCTGCCTTGCTGTCGATGAGTGTTTGGAAAACCTTGTTTTGTGGCAAACGTGTTATTCTCTTTGTGGACAACGAGGGTACAAAATTCTCCCTTCTCAGAGGTGTTTCAGACAACTCTTGTGTGGACATGATGGCCGAAGCTTTTGCAAGGATTGAGAGCCAACTCCATGCGATGATCTGGATTGCAAGGGTTCCCTCAAAGAGCAATGTTGCAGACCCACCATCAAGGGGTTTGACAAATATCCCTTTGCTTGACAATGCAACTGACGTCTCCGATATAGCTCGGAAACAACTACAGGAGTTGGTCACGCAGATTTGGAAAGTGGGGGAGAAGGCTGCGTGACATCTCCCAGCTGCAAAACAATCAAGCTGCTTGCATTGTTACATGTCACCTGTGATGCTACCTTGGTGAAAGTGTTTCAGCGAATAAACACTTGTGACATGTCACTTAGTTTTATGAAGATGAA